TAACTGTGGAGTGGTGGGATAAGTATTAATACAGGCTTTCTTCCCAGGGTTTGCAGAAGCTTCCTTATCACAGGACCACCTCATGCAGATACTCAAGACAGCCCATTATTTCTGTGATGGCAGGCCACATGTTGCAGTGTTTTCATGTTACATATTCACTTTTATAGATCAATATGACAAAAAGTATTTGTATTAACATATTACATCTGATTGCAGGAAAAAAATAATCTTGTGACATGTCAGTTGACAGATGGCATTTTGAATGGAAAACCAAAACAAATCCATTATTTAATGCATATTCAAGGTTGATTTCATAGAGATACTCTTAGAACAAATAATGTTCTGTGGAAAGATACATGTGTGTATATGTGTGTGTCTTTGTCCAGTAGGTTGGGATTTAGGAGCTCTAAGGATGAGTGGTGAAACTGTCAAAACTTCTGTGACTATAAAAAAGATTCACATTTGTCTAAGTTGGTTATGGGTTAGAGATTGGACTAAAGGAATATAAATGTTTTTAGAAGCCTTTAGATGCTAAATCCATCAACTGAGTTTGGCCAGAAAACTGGTATGTCCAAGAAACAACCTTGTAAATCCATCAAAGAAAGATATCTGTGCTAGTATCACTCCTGATTTAAGGAAAGAATGAGCATCATGTTAACTGGACTCTTCCTACTGGAAGAGGCTTTGAAGGTTTCATAAATATTTGCTTTTGTACTTTCAGATATATTTTTTTTCTTTGCTCTCTTGTATGATTTATGATGCATCCTTCCCTGAACCTTTTAATGTGCTTTGTCTAACCTTCTGTGTTTTACACTATAGTCACCTGGGATTATCCACCAAAGAACACATGTCCAGTACTAAAAAGCAACATGAATGCTACAAGGCAGGACTCGGTGTGGAAACATGCTGCTCTGGATTCTAATTCAGGCAGCTCCAAAGCTCCACATGTTCTGGGATCTGTGTTTTGAAGTCCAGATTAGTTGAAATCATTGCCTGAGCTTTGGTTGTGCACAGACGAGTCCTGTTACACCTTGACACAGAAGCAGACAGCAAAGATACTTCTAGAAAATGAAAATGCAATTCCTACTAAACTCTGGAAAAAAAGAAAAAAGAATAAAAGGTTCGTATTAAAGTTTAGCACTAGCGAAAACAGAGCTGGTAGACTGTACAGATAAATGTCTAATGTGTTTAAAAATGAAAATAATTTCTAGTGTCAGTAATCTTTTTTTCTTTTTCCTCTATGTCACTGTAGTCATTCTCAAAGACAGACCAGTAATCCTATTTAGAGTGAGTGATCATTGCAGCTGCAAGAGTGAGGTCATTGATTTATGAAGGTTATAGCTGCATTTGGGAGCATGAGATGAAGGAAGAGAGTTGACTGAGATTTCTGCATAATTTGGGTCTACTGGCTTTCTGTAAACAAGGATTTTTTAAATTCTGCTCCTACCAGTCTTTACAGCAGCCATTAGTTCTAGCTCAGAAGCAGGACTGATGTCGAATGGGAGACAGATAAAGAGTGGAGAATGAATCAAATGGCATAAACAAAAGTAATTTACAGTATGAACAAGGGCTAATAGTATCTCCAAGATAATAGAATAGTATGGCTTCAATAAATGAATACAGGAATTTGAGAAAAACATTTTTATCTAAGACCTACCAGTAATACACCTCATTGTTTATTTAAACCTAAATCCCTATTTGAGACAGAACTAAAAGCTGCCTAACTAATAACAGCCTTTTTAAGCATATGACCATGTTTTGTGTTGCTCTGAGGAAAGCCAGAGCAACAGACAACCTCTTTGCTGATGTGGCATAACACTAACGACAAAAGACAGCATCATTTGCAGTGTAAGACTGATACAGCCTTTGAAATCTATAGATTTAAGTGCTTCATTTCCCCTGTACAATGAAGTAAGCATTTCTCATAGTTATTCACTAGTCCACCCATAGTCATCTCAGTCCATCCACAGTACCTCAAAACACCATTATACCTTGGGATGGATAGGGAGGACTTCAAGAGGTCCAGTTCAGCTCCTGTTGTCATAGAAAGCATTTCTTCATGTTCATCCAGCCTCAGATCCTGTTTCAAAGGACTTTGGTCTTACTCCACTTGATGGAGTTTGTTCGGTGTCATTTCATCAGCACATAGCCATAGAAAACATCCACACTGAAAGCCTGTAACTAGAGATAGTGGATTTCAGGAGCAAAATAAATTGCGAAAGCATCTCAGGAAATTAGATTACTGGAGTCAGCTAAGTAGCTTCAGTACCAACAGAAAACACTTGAAAACAAATATCTACTTATTTATGTAATGGAGAGGAAGGAAAAAGGAGAGAATGTAGAAATTGTTTTTAATCTCTCATTAGCCAAGTGTTACTCTTTTATTTACTTAAGGAGAGAGTGGATCTAAGACTTGGGATGGTGAAATAGCCCAATTAAGGATTTTCCTCAAAGTTTACAATATAGAACAGCTGAAATTAATTTTCAAAATAGTGAACATTTGGAACATACATACCTTGAAAAACACTTTTCTTCTTAATGCTTTTTAATAGCTGCAGTCAAATGAAAATGGGGTTTCCTTTGGTATTTGAACTTTGTTCATTTGAGATAGCTTTTTGTGTAGGGTCTCTGAACTAACAATATAAATATGATGCCAGGCAGTTTGATCAAACGTGGTTGACTGGACAGAATTTTGTTTGGGCAATACAGCTCAGAGTATATAGTATGTGCTGCTGGTATGTTCAACAAACATTAAAAGAAAATAATCAGTCAGTGTTTCTCAGCATTACCTCAGGCCTGTAACAAATGTTTAATAGACTGGACTACAAAAAATAATTAAAAATTAAGGTTTGATTCCTAGCCCTGCAGAATCTGGACCATTATTGTTCCTGTATAAAACAGGGGAACACATTTGTTTACCTCATCCTTAATTACTTGTAAAGAGGGAACATGTAAAGGCAAACCTTATAAATGGGCCTTGTGATCTTAACTAACAGACTATTTTGATAGTCACAACTGATGTGACTGCTTGCTGTGCCCATCCTTGACTAGTGTGCAAGGCCCTGCCTAGCCATCCTGGTCCCCTGCTTCAATGGTGCACAGCAGCCAGTTCTCACGGGGCTGAAGCTGTGACTCCAGCTGTAACAAGTGAGGCTGTCTTGTGTACTGGTGTCTGTGTGTGTAATGATGTTTCCAAGTAACAGAATATCAGATAGTTTGTTTTCCAAGCTGTTTTATGTCAGGAAGCTGGACAAAGACCAACAATAAATGAGAAGAGACGGAGACAAAAGATGGTTGGTAGAAACAGGCAGGTGCTCTTTATTTCATGTGGCACAGCATTAGGCAGACAACCCAAGAAACAGTTTCTAACAAAAACCAAAACTATTGCTTCCAGGAACCATCCCCCAAGCAAGGGTCTACTGCCAACAGTGGCACTGAGATGTCCTTGCCTGTCCACTCTTGTCTCCTCATAGTTTGCATATGCTCAGGCTGTATCTTAGCTCTGAGCATCCTTTCCAAGGAGGATAACTTTTACAGTATCTTTAGACAGCATACATACTGTGCAGTATCACCAAAGTACAATCTCCTCAAGCCATGCTAAAATATAACGCTAACTCTGGAGACAAGGCTGTGCAGTCACCTTGCATCTCTCTGAGGTAATACAATGCTGTTTCTTAGCCAACGACATGAGGGGCACCTGAGGGAAGATCAATATGGCTTCAGAGTCTATCTTTAAACTCCTGATGCAGTAGTGAGAACCTGGCATGTTGTCTGGGGAGACATGGGGCGATTACATCCTCCAGCCCTGGCTGCCATTGGGCACTGGTGACACCAGAGACCTAAGCCTACAGTCACCACGAGGGCTGAGAACAGAGATGCTCTTGGACTAGGAGGAGAGGTTAGTCAAAGATCACAACAGACTGTAATCTTTGTGTTGGGCATTAGGCAAGAAGTAAGCAATGACGGCGGTAAGGGGGAGTTATAGAGTTAGCACTCTGGATTAAAGGCATGAAGAATGGCTGGTGGAAGGAAAATGTTTTAGAGGCTAAGGGCAAAGCTTTAAAAGCCTTGGGATATTACTTTTAATTATTATCTACAGGTTATTCTCTCTATATATACTATTTTTTTTTTCTAAATTAAGAAAATAAACATTTATTGACAAGTCACTGAGTCAAATCCTGCTTTCCACTAAAGCCAACTCCATTGACTTCAGTGTAAGGGAGCCCTGTGTAAACAATGAAGGGCAAATTTGGCCCTGTAAGTCCTGAAAAGCCTGCTTGTACCCATTTCTTTCAATTCTGCAAGGAAATAGAGATTAAGAGTGAATTATTTGCTACAATTTTCTCTTGAGCTACCAGGGGAGTGTCAATGAGATGTGGCAAAGGAGCAAGAAAAAGGAACAGATACGAAGTAAGTACTGCTTTAAAGACAATTTTATCCATGTTTCAGAACAAAAAAGAGAGTGGATCCGGATCGAGTGCTACTGGCCTTTACTTTCTAAGCAACCACAATATCCTTCATTTAGCTTCATTGAAACAGTACATAACCAGAGAAAATGGAAGGAACCAAATACTCCTTTTCCTTTGCAAACATCATATGCCCAGAGGTGAACACTGTCATCCCTTTGGATGCTCTACTAACTCCAACTCTCTGCACAGTGCAGTGTCAGCCTCTGAAGACAAAACATACCTACTGTGCACATGAGTAAAACCTGTGGTGTCTTACAAATGTAACTTAATGTTTTGAATATTAAAAAAACACTAGGTGCTTTTAGACACAGAACAATACGATTTTGGATGCATTTACCACTTTTATTTCACTATGCAGAAACATACATTCACCATGTGTTGTGATGCAGCTGACAGTGTAATGGATGCTATCCCTTCAGTGGGTATTATAGCTGGACACTAACGAGTTTTCAGTGGATGTTCTGTACAGGTTAAGGCTTGACTCTGAACTAGATAGTAAATGTTGACCAGATTCCCAAACAGATTTTTTTCTTTTTTTCCTCTGAGAACAAAAGGGAAATCAATAGAAAACCATCACGGTTATTTCAGATTAATAATTTTCTAATGCTGCAAACTAAGTAAAATACAGATCTTTTTTTTTTTTTTTCCTCCAAAATAACTACATATAATTTACAAGGTTAGGATCTGTGAAGGGTGACTGGAAGCTGACTCTGAACAATGCTGACAAAAATCGTTAAAGTTAATATACTAAAATCATTACTACCTTATAAGGTATTCAGTCAGGTATACAAAGCACACTTTGTAAGCATTTAAATATTTTGATAAGAGTAAAGAGCCATCATCATTTATTGGGCAGTAATAAAACCAGATGAAACCAATATAAGATTCAAGTTGTTTACTGAATAAACTGTGTTATTGGCACATCTAATGTGTGGTAAAACATTATACACAGTACCTATACAGCTTCTAGCATTTTGGGGGTAATCTTCATTTACAATATCTGTAAACAAAAGGCTTGCCACCTAACAAATTTTAATTTGTTTAGACTTTCATAAACTGTGAAAGGCTAGAACTGTTTATGTGTTACATAAGATCACTGTTTATATTGTTTATGAACGTGCAGGTATAGCTGAAAACTTAGACATTTTAAGAAAATTAAAAATGCTGCTTTTCTGTAATTTTATTGTTGCTTCATGCAATATTGTTTAACTGCTGCTGATTCAGATTGCTTTCTATGGGAAGGTATCTCTGCCAGTTTCTTTAACGGTCAAGATCAATTCTTCCGTACTGAAATTTTCCATAGACAGATACAAGTCAGTCAGGTTGGAACTGAGACTCCGTACAGGCGCTCGTATTCCTACTGGTGTGTATGTCTGGATTCATATGCAATCCAGGTTATTCCTGCAGGGAAGAGAACTGAGTTAATTATTTGAAGCAACTACACTCTTGCAAAAGAGATTCTGTCAATTTGTGCGTGTAACAAAAGCTGTTTGAAAACTGCATCATCCCAGAATAAGCAACTTGGCCCAAATTCAAAGTCCACTAACACCAATGAAAAGAATTAGTGACATCAATAGACTTTTAAGCAAGCCACATTGTGTTGTCTCTGAAACAATTAGCAGAACACTACAAGAATCACAGCTACTCACTCCTCTGTGACTGGTTCCATCTTCCAAATAAATAACAGGTACTGAAATTCAGTTTTCTTTAGGGTCTGTATATCCAAAAGCAGGAGAGCAAAACAGCTTCAAAAGGTGCTGTGCATTATACTCTGTTACTTACACCAAGTGCTAGGGAATATATACTGTTTTAAGAACAAAATGCTGCTATCTATTTAAACAAATCAGACTAAAGCAGCTATTTTTTCCCACTCTGCATACAGCATTCAAAGCAATTTGTGCAATGGTGCTGGCATTAATGGCCTTTGCATAGCAGGTTAGTATGCATGACATGTTTTTGCACACAGAATAAATACAGTAATATTAAGACGTTTGTTTAGCCAGCCACAACTAGAGAGCATGCCTTTACCAAAAAAAAACTTGGCACAAGAAAAGCTGCATTATCATCTCATCCTGATAAACAATGCTGCTTTAAAACACAAAATGTTTTTTAAAATACAAGAAAGCCAAGACATCCAAATACTGACACACTAATTCACTAGGTTTGAAGGAAAAATCAAAAGCAAGTTGGGCCACACCTTTGCAAGTTAGGAATTAAAACTTAATTTGTAACGTATCTGTGTGGGACATATAAAAAGCAGCTGTAGGTTTTTCCCTTGGCATTTTTAAACAAAATGCATACCTTTAAGAACAAAATAGATTTGTTCTTAAATGACAAAGAAGCAGACAACAATTTTTTCTGACTTCAGAATTAGAAAATTAGACTATATCAAAGCATGGACAATGAGGACTTTCTAGAGAGCCAACAAAAGCAAATGAGTAGTTTCTCTTTCTCCAGCTGGCATCACTGAATGAAGAAAGACGTTTAAAGCTGAATGTGGTTTACATTTAAATACCAGAACTGATAACCAGCACAAATGCAACTTGCGAATACCAGTGAAAGAAAGCAAAGAGTTAGAGGTGAACTATGGTAGGAAAACAACATTTGCAACATGCCAGCCCAGTAAATGCCTAGGAAAATCATCTAGTCCTCTTACCTGTGGTCAATCCTCCCCATCTTCTGGTGTGATTTCTGTCTCTTTATGTACCACTACTTTGGTCACTGACATGTCAGGGTGCTGCTCTTTGGCTTCTTTAATTGCCTGAGCCAGCGCCTATCCCAAGGAAACCACAGAAGGGCAAAAACAAAAAGGAGGTGGAACATGCATGATCAGTAGCAAGGTGGAGAGATTCATGAGATATTACACAATTTACAAATGAGGAAAATGATTAAAATATGGAATATACCATCACTGATTTAACTACTAATCCAGTTTAATTTAAGGCATGCCAGTATGAATAGTATCTTTTTAAAGCAATGTTTAGAAATGTTCTCTTCGGCAGTCTTCAGGGTAGCCTTTAGCAGTTTATAAACTTTACCTGATCATGATCAATATCTGCATCTCCTGTGATGACTATTCGCTTTTCAATTCTTGTCTCTGAGATGCCGCCTTTCACAGTCTAGATGGGAGGGACAAATACATGTCAGTAACTTAGTTTAAAGAGTGCTGCTGCTCACTCAGAGAATGATCACTGCAGGAGCACAGAGGTGACTGGACTATCTCAAACATCACGCACAAAGGGAATGACCCTGAACTGCAACCAGAGCAGCAATGAAGTTGGCCTGAATGGATTATATTGACCTCCGGAGGTCCTTCCAACACAGATAATTTTATGATTTTAGTCCACCTGCACATGTGTCAGAAGAGATGTTTGTATGCCAAAAATGGCAGTTATTTGTGGTAAATTCATGCCATGAAAAAAGAATGGACATACAGACAGCTCATATTAAGACCTATTTAAGTTCGACTGCAGGCTTCAGAAGGACATACAGGGCGGAATGACCTTTGTATACCTCACCTACTGAAGGGTGAATTTCACTGCAGAAAGATGAAATCCTATCCTCGGTGAACATTGGTAGGAGAGATGTCACAGCACTAAAAGGGCTTCTGCTTAGGGAAGAACTGTTACTTAGATCCTATCTTGGAACTTGGAAGACCCAACATAATTTGTCTGTGCAGCCATAAGCTTTTGGCTTGGTTGTTGGCAAATTCCTTAGCAATGTGACTGTGGTGTCTGAGTTGACTCCATGTCCCATTATGACTACATGATACAGATTTACTACGTGCTTTCAACACTGTGCAGAGATAATAGCTCAGGACTCAAACACAGCTATAGACAAATCAACAGAGCCTCATTCTCAGGCAAATTATTCCTTCCAGGCTAAAATATAATGCCAGCGTGGCTACACTGCTTCCGGTTCCAGACAGTATTTGCAGCTATGTCTTTGCACAGCAATGTTTTGTGCTTGCACAGACATACCCAAGGGGTTTACGATTTTCAGGACTTTTGTCAAGCCCTTGGATGATGCATTAGTGAAGCCAGTGTAGCCAAAGACAGGCGAATGAAGACAAAAATCCAAAACAGGATTTTGTCCAGAGACCGTGTGTATCCACGCCTTAAAAGAAATAACAGAACTGAAATTAAGAAAACATACACCCTTGTGGGAAAAAAAACGCTCCCTGTTTTCTGAGGACTCACTTTGGTGATATGTGTAGTGGTTGTAGTGCTGGTGGTTTCAGACGTGATAGTTTGTGCACTCATCAGTACACCCGGTTCTGAGTCAGCACTGCAATCCACCTAGGGAACCAAAAGAGAAAACCAGTCATCGAAACCAAGATCCTGAGCACAGAGAGGCAAGAACTGGACTGGCTGAAGTTCCCTCTTTCTAAAGTTCTTCATAAAATGAGTATCTAATGCTAGGGATATAAGTGCTGTTATGGTGACCATGTGCCAGTATTTCTCATTTGGAGACTCTCATTTCTCATTTGGAGACTCTCCCTTGCTTCTGGAAGGACAGATGAGAAGCTGGGGCCTTAAAATCTGTAGCTTCATCAATGTTCTCTAAAGGCACAAAACAAGGACATGAGAGCCACTCTCAGGTAAGCTATTCTTATGTACATCCTTCCCATGCTAATATTCAATATTTGAACAGTTTAGAATAGTTTACTCTAAGGCATACATTTAAAGATGGGTGAAGAAATACGGGTTCCTTAAAAGCATCTTAAATTAGATTCTGGCTTTTGCAGAATTTCTTACCTGAGATGACTCATACGTAATGGTTTTTGTTTCTGTATGGACTACTGGCACTTCCTTTGTTGAAATTTCAAGGTTTTCCCCACCAGCAGAAACACTACTGAAACTGATAGTCTCAGTCTTCACAACCGGTGACTGCACGAACAGAAAAAAAAAAGGAATTGGAACATCTGGCAAAGCTTATGGGTTTCTCAGAATGCTGTTTGTTTGTTTTTCTCCCTTGGGAAAAGGAGGGGGAACAACTAAAAAATGGTCTGCACTTAACAAAAAAATAAAAGGAAAAAAGAAAGAAAAGAGAAAATTCTCTTTGTTACAGTGGTACATACATGTATATACTGCTGGCAACATTTAGCACTACCCAGGATTTCATGAAAACAAACTTCAGAAAATATCTAAGCACTACAAGAGGCAATGGGCACAACCTGAAAGACAGGAGGTTCCCTCTGACCATGAGGAAACACCTTTTCACTGTAAGGTTGGCTGAGCACTGGCACAGGTTGCCCAGGGCGCTTGTAGAGACTCCATCTTTGGAGATACTCAGATGCTGTTTGGACAAAGTCCTGGGCAACTGGCTCTGGGTGACCCTGCTTGAACAGGAGAGCTGGAGCAGATGACCTCCAAAGGCCTCTTCGAACCTCAACTGTTCTGAGAATCTGTGTTTCTATATATTCTTAAAATGACAAGAGAACTAATCCTATTCAGGCTGTCTTTCATCCAGCTCTCAGATAAAAGAGCAAGAACAAGTTGTTTTTTTAAACCCCTCTGCAAAACAGTTCTTGAAATTCTGCTCAGATAAGGAACCTGGGTTGTTTAAGACATAGTGTACTTAGTTACAGCTGTGCCAAGCATGGAAAAACAATATATTTTCTGTCTTTGAGGACACATGAACTTTGCCAGTCTTGATAGACTTCACAAAGAGAATGCCAGCTGAATTCCTGTTACTCATTGCATAAAATGCCACCAAATTAGGTAAGTCTCTGTAGCATGAAAAGCGCTTTTAGGTAAAATATGCATGGCATTTTGCCAATGATGGAAACCAGCAACAAGTCCTGCAGCTGCCACACAAGGAGGAAATAAGAGGAGAAACTGCCTGCTGCTAAGGATGCAATCATACAAGCTCAGTACACTTTACTTTCCATGACAGAAATTATCTTAGTCCGCTATTTCCCACATTCACAATTCAGCACGGACATGACCAATGTAGTTACGAGTTACCTCGAAATGAGGTTTTCTTTCCAAAGACTCTGAAATGTGGACTGTTGTACTGTGCTCCTCCGCTTGCTCACATGAAGCAGTAGCAGCAGCAGCGACTCCTTCCTGTTTGGTTAGGGCTTTGCCAGCCTCCTCCCTTTTTCCCTCCTTTGCCTCCTCAGTCCCAGAAGAGCCCTCCTTCCCTTTCACGCCAGCAGCCACCACTGATGCTGCCTCAGCCTGGGCATCCAGCACAAGTCCAGCTGCTTTAGCAGGATCCCTGCTTGCACACACATCCATCCCACGCCTCTCCTCGATAACTACAGTCTCCTGTACAACCTTCTTCACGGTATCCTGGTGTGGCTGAACTGCCTGCTTCATTTCACTGGAAGTTATCTCCTGAGATGTTGTCGTGTCTATTCTCTGCAAGGAAGGAAAAGAGAAAACCCTCAGTGTCTGAAGCAGACAACACTACTTGCAATAGCTCCTCAGCTTAATGTACTGTGAACATAAATACAAAAATGGGTATTACATTTTGCCAATTTATTTCTCTCACAATGCATGGATTTTCATTCTTGAGATATTATCAGAATAGTAGAAATTAAAAACAAAGCAAAAATCTCATTTTTTAAAAGTGAAATGTCACAGGGTTTCTCTTGTTGGTATTTTTGTGTGAGTTTTATAAAGGCAAAATATAGCACCCTGCAAAATGAACAAAATAAAGTGAAATGAGAGAAAACAGTTGTTGGGGTTTTTTTAATTTTCCATGAAGTTTCCATTGTGATCTATTGCACCAAAAGAAAAGGCACAAGAACACATGCATTAGTTATACAGTTTCTGAGTTATGCATAAAACCAGAAACAAAACAAAAGCAAAAATAATTGGTGTGTGGTTACAACATTGATGGAGGGAATCAAACGGCCACCTGAGCCCAGCTATGTGAAGTAGAAGTAACCCCTCCTATGAACTCAGTCGGTTTTCTGGCAGACTCTATTAAACTGAAGATATCTGAACCATCCAAGGTTTTTTCACTGGTGGACTGTTTAGTCTAAATAGACAAAGAAATGTAGAGTCACACACAGAAGAAAGGCAGACCCACATGCACAGACATGTTAATTGCTAAAACCGGAGGCAGAAATAAAGGAAAGGGAGAGAAGATTGCGGGAGCACAGAGAGGTTGGAAACAGGAACAGAATGGGAAAATAAATCAGAGCATATTTATAATGGCTGTAGTAAGCAGTAATTACAAAGCATAGTTGTTAGCATTGGCATTTTGCTGGTTCAAGCAAACCTCTTTTTTTTTTTCATTTTATTAACAAGCCACAGCAGCAATACTACATTTCAGTAACATGGATCTTTAAATAAACCAGAAAGGTTGAAAGCCTTATATAATGTCTGCTTCAGATTGTGGACGGATTCAAAGTATGAGGGGAAAAAAAAAAAGCTGGGTTGTCTGCTGTCAACATAAAGCCAGGCAGCAAGAGAACCAAAAGGTAGGGTGGTGTGAGGGGATTGCCTAAAAGAAGTCATGCTTTAATCTTTAAACCATGGCGTGAAGTCAAAGCCACTTGTTACCACTACTTTGGACGCAGACGACTCAGTAACATAGTGAGCAGTAGCAATGGTAAATGGCTGTTCTCTGGAATATCTCCACTCAGACAGGCTCTTATCTCTCCGGGCAAATGCCCCTGCTTTTACAGCTTCACTGCCAAGTTGTTTTTCTGCTTTGCCATGCTGCAAGCTTCCCAGTGTACCATGTAACTGCAAATCCTGGTCCATCTTGAGTGTCTTTTTCAAACTCTCCTCTTCAGGACTTTGTAACTGTAATTCTGCTTCTTTTATGGGTGTCAAAGAGTCAGACATCTTTCTTTTTGTGCTCTGCATGTCGGATCCCCACCTGGCTTTCTCATCAGTGACAGGCTTGAGGATTTCATACTCGGACACTACAGGAATGATTTTCACAGATTCTTGCACTTCCCTTCCCATTTTTTGCAAAGCTTCTACTGAAGGCTGTACTGCTTTCTCACCCTCTTTAGCTTTACTTGTCATGGTTACAATTTTCCCGGATACGGTATCATAGGACTTTCCTAGGGTGAGCATTTTCTGCTTATTCTCCTCTTTGGATTGTATTTCACTTTCCAAGTCCTCAAAGCTCTGCATTAGAATGGTACTGGATTTTAATATCTCAGGTAGAAGGGTAGTTTTACTGCTCACAGTCACTACTTTGTATGCCAGATTTTTTTTCAATTCACCATCAACTACCTCAGATGGTACTTTTTCTATAATAACCCAATCCTCAGTGCCCTATATTTGAGATATAAAAGCTATATTAGAATATCTGAAGGTTTATCTGTACATCAGGAGCACTAAAGCATGAAGACTTTTAAGAAATCAATGCCGCCTCTTCTGAAAGCATGTAATAACTTTTACTGTTGTACCTCTTAGCGCAGTTATCAAGCAAATAAACAGAATCACCTTAGGCAAAGTATGATTTCTTTGCATATTCCCTCCCATTAGAGGCCCATATAACACAGACATAAAAAAATTACCATTACCAAAGCAGAATAGCATTTTAGTGCATCATTTAAAATGATGACTGGAATAATCCTGAGGTTAAAAATCAGGTATCACAATGGTTTGTAATGCTATGAGTCAAAAACAAATTACAAAAACATGGGAAGTAAGCCCATTCAACTGTTCCTCTGTTGTCACAAACACACCGTTTTGAGGTTTTAGAACAGCATGCATTTGTATATAGCCATAGTCTGCACTGAATTTCCTTGTTTTCATTAGAATAACATCAACCCTCTTCTGGATTGTCTAAATTGCACAGTACAATGCAGTAAACACCGTACTACTGAAGATTCTGAATGGAACTTAATGCAGCATCTTTTTTCCTCCTTATGCAAATATGCTATGGGATTCACTTTGACTATGCAATTGGCATCCAGCTATTTGACCTGAAGACCATAACTTCTGTATTTAACTAAGCAAATGGGGTAATTTAAAATCAAATGAATTAAAAATAACCTCTAGGGATGATGGGATACTTTTCTGGATAATGATTTGATGAGAAGTAACCAAAGTGCCAGCAGATTCTCCTTCCTGAAGCTTCTTCTCTATCACACTTGGCTAATAGAAAAACCAATAAGAATACAAAGTTCACCACCACTCAGCATAATCTGAATTCACTTGACAGTATAAAGGAAATTCATTCTAATGACAGAATAGCCCCATTCACCATAATGTTCTCAGTGATGCTTATGCTGGAAATGCATGCACAACTGCAAACAACATCCACAAACAGCACCGTGCAAGTAGACTTCTAACTAGCAGAGAAAATCAGTCTCTATTAGGAAGCCATAAGCTCTGGAGAGGACTCATTCCTCAGAATTTGGCCCCCAGATTACATCTCTCTCTGGAACTTATGAAATAATAATAATAATAATTAAAAAAGGAGGGTGGGGTGCTTGGAAAGGAAAAAAAAAAATAATAAATCATTGCCTGCATTTCTGCATATCTGACTGCATTTCAAGAACGTATTATTTGGTTTTACCTGCGATTCAAGGAATGTAGTACCTCCCTTCTGCAAAAATATGAGTTTTTCTGATTTTTCTCTTTCTTCTTTGGTCTAATGTCAGGGGAATAAATGGTTTTAGTAAATGGAGGGTATAAAGTCCACTATACAATAGCTCATCTTATTTCTCTACTCTACACATTATTAATTGCGTGGTAAATTAGGAATGAGAATTAGATAATTTTACACAGGTTTCCAGTAAGTGAAATCAGTGTCTCTCTGTAATGAATGTAAAGCAGACACAAGCATACCACTTGTGTAGCACAAAACCCACTAAACTGAATAACACTCAGGTGTGCATGCACTGTGTTAATTTCATCTTTCATTATTCATTTAACTGTGTCTGGTGCCAACTTAGACGGCTTCCATGAATAGCCTAGAACAGGCCCCTCCACCTTCACCCCAGCCTTAACTCTCTCCTGAGTTTGCAACCTTCCCTGCTGAAGCAGGCTGAAGGTGTGCCCTGCAAAGATTTCAGCTCTCCCTTTCTCCTTATAGGTATAAAAGGTCTCAGAGTCTTTTTCCTATGCAGGAAGCTAATCATGGCTCTATAATCGCCATAGTATGACACCAAAATCCTCCTTACTTTTATCCTATCATGCCTTACCAATGCTGTAAGAATAGTACCTCTGCAACTCGACCAGCTGGGAAAGATTTAGACTCAATTTCCTAAGAGTTTTGAGCCCAGCTTCTAGGCTGTCCACCTTTTTCTTTGGCCAGAGCAAGTAAGCCTTTGCAGACTAAAACCGGTTTCTTGCCAAATCCATTCTACCCATTTCAATGGTTCGTGTATTCATTAGACATGCCAATGGAAGTGCTACGAATGGCATGATAAAAGGATACTCTTTTAAGTTATGTATACTCCACGTACTCAGGAAGAAAGGCACAAATTTAAAGAAGGCTACAAAACTAGAAACTAGAAAAAGGCAGAAACAGCTCATCTCCCTGACTGCAGTGAGATGCATAACTTCTTTATTTCCAAAGTGCTGGTTTAATCCAATTAAGGTCAGACTAAACACCGTCAAGGAGTCTGTTCTGCAGCTATCTGGCCACAATTATAGCAGATATTTGAAACTGTATTTTTCATAACTAAAGAAAAACGAAGTATTTCCCCCATTATTGTAAGAAACTAACCGGTGACAAGGCAGGCTTAAAGTCAAACTGACCAAATGCACGCAGGCGACAAATGCTGAAAGCACACGTTTTGAAATGGCCTATCTTCCCTGCTGTTCTTGTCTTATTATAGTAAAGAGCTTCAGGTAACAGCACTGAATAATTTTTTAAAGTGGATATGCAAACATGTAATTTCTTTGACTAGAAGAAGCTACTACATAACACAGATCTACATGCTCTCTATCCTCACTACCTCTGCATTTCTCAGTAGACACCAAGGTGCTATATTTTGACCTATTCATAGCCTCAGTTTTTTCCTGAAAAATTCCTCTCTCAGCATGACTTGTGAACTGATACCATACGGCTTAGCAGGACCAAACAGAATTGGTGAGATGTTATCTATTGCAGGGGTCCCTTAGTGCCAGAAGTCACCTTGGAGTTAGGCTCTCATAGCTCAAATCCACTCAGTTTTCCACAGAAATACCTTCATTTGGATAAGAATCTGTGGGGCAGCTGTAATTTACTTAGGTGCATATAAGAGACAGTTACTGGACATTGCTTTTGAGCAAGTCTTTTTCTTCCAGTACAAGAAGAGATACATCAGATAAGGACAATTTTTGCCCTTCTCCTTTCTAAATCAGTGTTTAAATTTGGATGTGTTACCTCAGCCTACATAACTCAGTAATGCTTTGCTACTGGCTGTACATTTTAATGATAAATTGCTATTAAATTCCTACAGTAATAAAGACATGAAATGAACTGGTGAGGCAGGTATAAGTTTGTTTCACCTGCACTCCTCTGAAGCTCTGCTAGCCAGCTGTTCCTTTTTCAACAGTTCCTTACATCCCTAATATGTTAAATCCATCCTGTTCATCATACTTACAATTATACTTTTAAGAAAGAAAACCTGTATTATCAACTACAACCAAATGAATGTGGTCATAAGATCTATTGTGATTTCTGACTAAGACAGCAGGAGCAACATTAAGACTCCTCAGCACTCTCTCCAAAAGGTAAGCTTTGGGCACCACGTCTGCTTTTCAGGTATTTTAATCCACTGTGATGGCCATTCTAACACATCTGATGCTTGTATCACCCACTATTTAGATGGGTATAATGTGGAGAAGAAGAGCTGAGGCCTTTTTCTTGGCAGTATCCCTTTCCCTAAGAGGAGAAGCTGCCATGTGCTATCTGCATGCCTCCAGGGATTCCCTTCTCCAGAGAGCTGTGGGTCTGCAATGTCAACCTTTAATTTAAGGTGGGAAAGCCGAAAACCCTTTTGAATTCTACTTTCCAGCTAACTTTTGCTGAGTTCCTTAAAGCATCACATCAGTGCTGGGGGGACTAAAGCAAACTTTATGACCATTTCCTGGTCTGTAATGCTAAAAACAAGTGGTAATCATAAAGATGATTCCTGTGAGACAGAAATCAGATATCCATCCGCAGTAGAATAAAAAAATTAATGTTCATGCAGACCACATGTCCATGTTTCTTTTTGCTCCACTGGATTTAAACCAAGACTGCTTTTTGTTGAAGATCTATGTATTTTATGGCAACATGAACATTACATTGTCACCTCTACACCTCATTATCTACTCACAAATTAAATTAAAGACAGCTTTTTAATTGGCTTTTTAATTGTTTCTTGCAAACACTTCAAGACTCCACAGTGAGCAAGATTGTTTTATGCATACACGCTGCTTGAAAACGCGTACACTTAGCAACCTGCATTGGGTCTTCAATGAAACGGTATCCAGCAGACTGCAGCAACTATCAGTTCCCTTATGGAAGTGGCCAGGCAGGTCTAATTATCATCATTATTTCCTCTCTGTCTTCAAAGACTGAGAGGGTTCTGCCCTTTGCTCTGTATTATCTTGTCAGGCTTGGTACCATAACCCCATCCGTCCTGCTACACCCGCTGCTTCCAAGCAGTCACCATTATTTAAATCTTCTCTCCATCACCTTCATGGTTTCTTTCATGCATGGCTGGGCTTCCTCAAGCTCACCGAACCTGTAACGAAGCCTGCACTTCTCACCCTCAGAGAGACCCAATTCTGCCATGCAGCTTACAGTTAATTTCATCCCTGAAATATACATATAAAAGTTATCTGCTCTTTCTTGCATCTTTGCTGCTAGAACCTGAGCCCTGAGAAAAGGGAGCACCTACAAGCAGGGAATGGCCTCTACCTACGGCCTTCAATCTACTGATAGCTATTATAAGTAAAAATGAATAGACAAATACACAACGAAGCCTTTCAGCTCACGCTGACCTCTTCAGGCACTAGTGGTTCAATCATAGGAGCTTCCTCCTGCCTTGCTGCAAGCCGAACGGGAGATGTGGAAAGCCTCTTCTCCCACTCATTAGACACAGCTGTTTCTGTGGAGGTTTCCAAGAAGGTACGTTTCAGCTCGCTTATATTGGTCTGATGTTTCATCAGATCTTCCTGGGTTTTGTCTAGGTCCTGGACAGTTTTAAAAGAATAGAGCAGTTTGTAATACATCCTAAGCCAGCCAAATTTTTGAGCCAAAACACACAGCTTGGTTAGTAAAGAGGGAAGTAACATCTCAGGGAGCCGGGGAGCACAGCACTAACACAACACTCTGTGAAAATGTGGCATTTTGAAAGATAACAGCATAGCATATCTTGTACAAGTGAGCATAAATATACTCTTAAAAAGCTTATCTGTATTGCTATAATTTACACCTGATAAAGAGGCTTCAAACAAACATACATATGCGCGTGGATGCACACATATATACGCGCACACATATATCTATATTTATAGTACAAGTTAGAGGAGTCATCATACTCTGAGAAAAAAAATCTATTTAATTTATTAGCAGGTGGGAATACACAGTTCATGCATCATAGTGCAGATTCACAGTTTACCACTAAAACTAACACACATGTACGTACATGCACTGGTATATACCAATACCAACCTCTAACATAAGATTACTATGTTTGACATACACATTTTCACCCTGTATTCGCTTAATCAGACTATTCTGAAAGAAGTGAAAAAGAAAGGGAAAGGTAAGGGACACAGTATTGAAAGGATACAAAATGCTGTTTCTACACATTTCTTCACAGAGAACCCACAATAACATGCTGAGAGAGGTGAACACCTCCAACATTGGTACTTGAGTAACATCTAGACCTTTCGGTTCTGTACCTGTGCCTTTAGATCTCCGTCCTCCTCTTGATCCGACTGCCAGCATGAGAAAGATTGGAAAACAACACCTTACCCACTCGTAAGACTGAAGGCTTTAGAAAACTCAGTGAGAGGAACGCACTGTGTTAAAATAACATTTTTGCTATGTTAAGGGCTTAAGGAGAAGGAGTAGACACAGTGGCTGACTTTGCACGGTTCCCCTAACTCAGAGCAAGCCCCCTCTTTTCAAATTTGCTATTTGTGAACAATGACTCTTAAACATTTTCCTTTTACAAACATTGGTGCACTCCGCATTCATATCTCTCTATATTTAGAGAGCAGCAGTTTGACATTATCACCAAGATTACATCTGATTCAGGATTCAATGGCAACAGCAAATTCTTTGGAAGTCCATAATAACAGAGTTGAAATGTATGACATCTCCTGGGCCACAGGCAAAGCCTGGCATAAACTCACCACAGATAAACAATCCACAACGCTTTTTACACAATGAAGCACATTTTATTTGCTTAAAATGCTGTCTCCCTAACCTCAGTCCCTTTCTGTATTTTTATAATTGTATTTCATATTTAGCCTGTACATATTCTTTCAGGACCTATCTGCAACACTGGTCTTCTGGAATGACACAACACATTTACTTCAGCTCACATTTTCAAAAGCAACACACTAAGCCCCATTTCTGAGGGCTGAATTTTCAGATGGCAAGTATACATCAGGTTTGAAAACCAGTTTCCATAAGGAAAACTAAGGTTTACGGAGTCTTCTTCCCTAAAATAAAGACAGTAGCTAAGGAGATTGTCTAACAGTTTTTAGTAATAAACTGAACATTTTAAATGTCACGTTTTTAGGATTATGCTTTACTTTCTGTAGGGCTCAAGGCCTGAACTTACGGAGTGCAAGAGGCACTTGAAAGCATTTCGTAATCCTGACTTGTCCCAACTTTGTGAGACCCCACCTGGAGCACTGGGACCCCCAACACAAGAGGGATATAGACCTGTTGGAGTGAGTCCAGAGGAGGGCCATGAAGATGCTCCAAGGGCTGGAGCACCTCTCCTGTGGACAGGCTGAGAGAGCTGGGGCTGTTCAGCTGGAGAAGAGAAGGCTCAGGGGAGACCTTAGGGCAGCTTCCAGTGCCTAAAGGGGTCCACAAGACAGCTGGAGAGGGACTTTGTAAAAGGGCCTGTAGGGACAGGACAAGGGGAAACAGCTTTAAGCTGAAAGAGGGGAGATTTAGATTAGGTATTAGGAAGAAGTTCTTTACTTATGAGGGTGATGAGGCACTGGAACAGGTTGCCCAGAGAAGTTGTGGCAGTGTTCAAGGCTAGGATGGACAGGGCTTTGAGCAACCTGGTCTAGTAGAAGGTGTCCCTGCCCGTGACAGCAGGGGTTGGGACTAGATGATCTTTCCAATCTACTTCCAAGCATTCTATGATTCTATGTTGTTGCTCCATTTGGATTATTTTAATGCTCATGCTGCTATTTTATTGTTAATTTTTCATAAGTCCTAATTAGGCAAACTACCCATGGGAAAATCTGTTGATTACTTTATAACTCAGTTCAAATCTATTCTATTTACAGTCAAGGCTGAATTGTCCTGACGTGTCATACAGAGAATCTTTCCTTGATAATTTTAAGTCTGAAATATTAATGAGATCCTACTGGAAAGCTACAGTTCTCTTTGCGATAATACTTTGTCTTCTACCAGATGTCAGACCACATTTTGCTCATGTTTGCAGCTGCAAGCATATTAATTATGAAAACATTATATGCACTTCAGTGGAGTCACATAGGTTTGAATTTGCCTGCACAGTCTATATACCATGTTGTGAATATGAGGCTTCTCAGTGCTAAGAAAATGTAATTTTGTTTTTACATTCCTCCTCTGAAGACAATACCTGGACTACCGGTGGCAGTATGTGAAGATGACATGTGACATTACATTCAATGATTTGTGGAAATACCTATTAGAGAACTTGAAAAATGGTTTTGACCATCTTTACCCCCCTCTCTCTCAAACACAGGGTGAAGATTACACGAGCAAACAAACAAATAGAAAAACCCAGGGCACAACTTGGCCAGCATGACCATCCAGGTGGGCTGTGTTGGTGTGCGTGACTCTGCCACTGCCCCGCTATCTGCAAAGCACAGAAGCCTTGCAATTTCCAAATCAAACGCAGAAATAAGAGGAACCTGTAGGGAGCACTGAAAACTCTGGACTCTCACACTCGCACACACACACATGCACACATGCGCAGAGAAGGATCCCAAACTGCCACAGGAAACATGCAGCTTAGCCCTCATGCCCAGGGTTGGGAAGAGATGAGGCAAAACACTCTCCCCTGCCATAACTGGGTGCCAGCAACTGTACAAACCTCGGTGGCAGTGGTCTCACCATCAGCTGCAGTATCCGTCTGCTCACTGTCAGTCTATTTGGTTAGACAAGTAACCGGGTCCCAAGAGGAAGGCAGGAATAAAGAATAAACCCAGCTCATCAGTACACGCGGCTCATATGGGGAACTGTTAAATTCAACATCCCTGTGAACTGCATTAGCATTGCTTTTCAAACCACGCACAAGTCAAAGAAGCAAAATAAAAATGCTATATTAGTAAACAGAACAGACTCAGAGGAAGACTCGAGGCGTACTGTACACAGTATATGGCTTTACTGGAACAAATTTATAAGCCAAATAAAACATTACTGGAAAAGTGTTATTTGAATAGCAATTTTTTTTTTCTTAAGAAAGCCAGGTGGCTTAAAAAAAAATGGGGACAAAAAAGCTAATATTCTCTAAACAAACTTTTCCTCCCGTAATAATTCCTTTAAAAGAAAATTACTCATCAAATTTTTGTTCTAGCCAATATAGATCAATGTGGTGGTTGGCTTTTTATCTGGAGGGGGAAAAGATCATTAAACAAACAAACAAACAATAAGCTACTTTAACAGTCACCTGACTTTCAGCCCCTCATTTGTACAGAAGTTGTTCTTGTCTCCACATTTATACACAATGAGGCTGTCTGCATTACCAAGGAGTTCAAGTAACCGTACCCCTAGCCCATCTACTGTCTGTCTGTGGAGTAATGGTAAGGCTCAGATCCCATTCGGTTCCAATAAAGAGCAGCTGATATTGTTAACGATAGCAAAAAGAAAGAAAACTGCCATTAAAAAAAAAAAACAACCAAAAAAACTTCTCATTCCATTTAAGAATACGGATGAAAGCAGGAGAAAAAGAAAAGTAATTCCCCCCCCTAAAAAAAATAACCAAACCCAAACACTTACTAGGTAAGAATGAGAAAAATGAAACAAAGCACAGCATTGCACAGACTGATCTATCCCTGCTTTGCTCGACACCATGAAGAACAGTTTAGTGGAGAATGCAAATGTCAAGATTTAATAAATAGTAGAGGGAAGATTACTACAGGCTGAGAAAAGAGTTCAAATGACTATTTTTGCTATTATGCAAGCTTATGGAAAACTAGTAAGTAATCAAAGTGCTGTCGAGTGCCCCAGGTGGCACATCCCAGTTGTTTCAAGGTAAGTGAAAGCTCTGCTTTTGATTAGTGATTTTCTGTGGTCACTAGATAATCTAAAGTAACCCAGGCAGGTAATGTAAAGCTAAGCAATATGTCTCATCCTCAAATCACATCAGTATGAAACAAGAGAAAAAAACAATCTACTGGTAGATGGAGTATCAGGCTTAACTTTGAATATCCTATCTTCTGTTATTTTCTGACAACTCAAATGTTATGTTTCATAAAACTGCTTTTTTTGATACTTTTTCATTGCTTTGTTTTTTATCATTCATTCCTTTAAATGATTTGTACTGCTTGTATGCCAGGCAGAAGAGCAGGCAGGCATTTTGTTCTATTTGGTAAGTGCATGAATGCAAGTTACATGCAATTTTCCAAGCAATAACCACTCACTAAACAGACCACTTTTAATTTTAATTGAAACTGTAATGCCAAAATAGTCTACCCAGATGGTCAAATTGTTTTCACTGAAGTGTTAGAAAATTGTTTCCTTATCAGTGAATGATCTCACATCTTTACAACAGAAGATGTCCCTGCTCATGCAGAGGGGATGGACTAGGTGACCTTTGAAGGTCCCTTCCAACCTGAACTGTTCTAGGATTCTATGATTATAAGCAGTTGTAAAGGTATGGCAATATAAAGAAAAAAACCCATGCATTGTCACTCCTATTAACAAAAAAAAAAAAGAAAAGAGAAGAGAAGAAAAGAAAAGAAAAAGAGGAATTAATGAATGTAGGCATTTAAAAAGAATTAAAAGATTTGTTTCGAGGTACTGTAACATATGAGTCTGGCACATAGGGTTCATTAAGAACTTGAAATTGGGAACATTAGAGAAAAGTCAATAAAAATACTAGCTGCTAAGGTACAAACACAAAAGCTAATGAAATCTAAGGTTTGAGATTCTGCTTCTGACCGCACGGACTGCCTCCAGATGCACTGCTCAAGGGAGAACACAGCTCAACATGGTATGAGATTAGTTCAGGATACTGCCTGTAGCCTTCTGCATCACTGCGAGCAATCTTTTGCAGGAGGAAAAAATAATTTCTATTTCTTTTACCATAAGAGCAATAGAAATCCTAAATAAGGCATAAAACTTGCTTTATTGCAACATACATGTCTGCTAATAAGCTGATAAACAGCCATGGAGTTGAAGTCAGCATTACTGAGTTACTTGAAATAAATATCTGGGCTTATTGCAGAGCAGGGAATGGTGAATTGAGGCTGAGCAAGGCAGGTCTCCTCTGGAGTGAAGAGTAAGAAAGGTCGGGCTCAACATCGAGATGGGCTGTAGTGCAGCTGCTGGTGGGACTCGTGAACAGGCGAGTGATTGAGCAGGAAGAGGAAGCAGCTACCTCTGGGGATGCTGCGGCTGCACCTCCTCTAACTTGTGATCGTAATTGCTGTGATTTGTTTTGCCAATGTAATGCAGACATGCCCGAGTTTAAAACATACTCATTTTCATGCAATATTTTGAACAAGAAATACCCGTGGATTAGGCACAAGTCTGTGTTGTCTGCCAGGAAGCACTGCCAGAGTAATCTCCCTCATAAAAGAGTGACACTCAAAAGCCTATTTAATACATTTTTATGCTCAATACTGCCTAACTTTACTAATGAAAAGAAGTGCTCGTTTCTGAAAGAGGAACAGACCAATGCATTACATAAACACTGCCTCGTTACTGCCTCTGGAGCTGGCACTGTATTAATGCTGTTATTGCTATTAGATTAATCCAAGTGCAGAGCTAATGCAAATTGAGACCTAAATGACGTCTCAAAACGAGGACATGAAATGAGACAGCAACATTTTGGATGCCTTTTATCAGAAAATGCACATTATTATTTAGTTGTTAGGCATCACAGAGCCAAAAGCATCTAAAAGCAATGTTTTTACAAGATAAATTAATGTGACTTTTGGCTTTCCATAAAAAGGAAATGAAATCCTGCACTGTCTTACCAAACCAACAGCAGCAGAAAACACAAATGTTCAGATGTGCAAGCCGGTTTATTGAAGACAGCTACAGTAACAGCATCGAAAAGTGTCCAAGATGACTTTATAAATGACCAACTGGTCTGCGATTGACTGATCTGGTTTTGGTTTTATGTTTTTGGGTTTTTTTACACAGAGCAAAACTGTATTTTTGAATTTGAAGAAAGGAAAAAGGAGGAATACCTGAACTCATTATTTTATTCTGTCAACAAAGAATAACGGCACCAGCAAAAACTGAGATGCCAGTTACCCTGTTAAACAAGCAGATTCCTTTCCTTCTTCTGGATATATTATCACATTCACAGTTCCCAGATCCACTGTGGACTCCTACTGCAGTTGGTTTATCTGCCTGTGACGGCCCTGGTGGCTTGAGGCATTGGTTTCAGCAGTGCTAATTGAACACTGCAAATGGCAAGCTGGCCCACAGCCGTGGAAGAGCTGTCCCAATCTGACCTCTCACTGATATATTGGATTTAAGCATAGGAAAACAATTCAATCTGCAGCACAGATGGGATCAAGGCTGAAAATCCAGATCCAGGTTTCACTGGACCAGAAAAGCCTTCTCTGGGCTCAGGCTACAGCTGATAGCCTCTTGCAAAGAGCTCAGTCCCCCTTGAACATGCTAAAGTTGGTGAGGGTGCCCATTATTATTATTGGGTAGCTAGTTACACAAATATAATGTGTATATATATATGTATATGTAATTATGCAGGAAATTATACTTAAGACCCTCTATTTAGATAACTATTCTAACCCTAGTACAAACTGATAAGGGAAGACAAAGGTCTTCGTGGGTTCAGATACAATACATCAGAGCTGATCAGTGGCAATTTGTTTAGTGCAAGTCACTTTGCATCAGCTGACACAGTTTAAACCAAGCCACTTCCACACAGTGTTGTGCCTAACCCTGGGCCCCAAGCTGTGCTCCCAACACAAGAAAAATAAATAAGAGAAGGAGGAAAAAAACCAAGCCCCAAACAAAAGAAATAAACCAAACCCACCCCTTCTAACATATCAGCACAGACAGAAATGAGGCTCTGAAAGTAGGACCACTATTGCAGCAATCTAACACTGGTTAGGACTGAAGCACTGAACACAAAAAAGAGTGTGTTCGATGCCGAGGTACACACCTCTTCCTCTGAACTGTCACTCAGGTCATTGGCAAGTGAGGCACTCAAGGAGGCCGCCTTGGGCTCCAGGTAGCAGAGGCACATAGCCAGAGGAAAGGAGAGAGTGAGGGCGTATGGCACTGAGAAAGAGGCAGAGAGCAGAAAGAAAAAAATGAAGAGGAAGCAAGGCACCAGGGAGGGGGAGCGGATGGGGAGGTAGTGCTGCACACTGGCAGGCAGGAGGTTGGTTTCGGAGAGGTTAGGGAGCGACAGGTAGCCATCGTCATCCAGGAGGGAAGGAAATGACTCTGGAAGTTGCAAGGAGAAGGAGAACAGCGTTCCGCCTTTGCTGGCTTTTTGCTTATAGCCGAAAGCCACATCTTGCTCGGCGGAGCACACTCGCCCCTTTCTGTCAGAGTCTGGCTCCGACTCGCCGTGCTTCGGGGCGCTCTCTTTGGGCGCCTCACAACCTAAGGACTTTGTTCGAGTGCTCTCCTTGCATCTCCTGCGAAGCTTTGCTGAAGATACATGGGGGCCAGGCTGCGAGGATGGCGAGGGGTGATGGGAGTCAGTGCCAAGCAAAGATGGCTGGTGACAGAGAAAGAGCAGCAAACAAGGCGCAAAAGCAAAAGGACAAAAAGAAAACTGTAATTAGTTAACTTTCCTTTGTGATGATAAATATTATATTATATATATAAAATTATAAACAGTATTTCAACACCACAGCTTTCTACTGAGTTAAATGGTGCTTGTTCTCATGCTGCACACCATAGGTATTAGTGAATCAGGGTTACAGCTTACAAAAGGCAACTTCCTGTTTCAGCATTTGTCTAGTCATCTGCAGTATGGGATTTACATATAAACCTTCACGGCCATATGTGGAGTTTCAGGTGCTGCCAATTTCCACTTACTGTAAGACTGGCTTCAGATTGTAAGGAGCTTTCAAACATGAAGCACATGGAGAGCAACAAAGAAATGAGGGAACGTACTTCTAACACCAACACTGCTTGTGACAGTGCTCCTGCAGTCAGGAGGAGACCCAGTGGGGGCTAGATGCTTCCCATCTATGCCTTGGACAGACTCAGCAGTAATAATTTAAAACATCAAGGATTTTAAAACTGTTTGTGCCCAAATTCCTCTATTACAGAATTAAAGAAAAAAATCTAGGTCCCAAACCCAATTAAAACACATTCTGGTTTGGGGGAGAATAAATCCATACATGAGCTGTTACCATGGGAAAAACTGGACTAGCTTGATGCCTACCCCAGCAGCCAGCTCCTCAGCATGGCTCCCACCACCACGCAGGCTGGCCTTCGCTGGGCATCCATCCCCACAGCCCTGCCCTCCCTTCTGCCCTTCACAGCCATGTGCCCTGCTGTCCCTCTACACTGCTTCCATAGCACATTGAAAGAAGGGAGCTGACCAGAGGGAGGTCCCTGCCCCACAAAGCCACATCTCTTGAAAGTCAAAAGGTGATGCTTTACCAATAGCAAAGAGGTAAAAACGTACCCAACGCTTTTGCCACAGATTTTACCACAAGGCAAAAAATACTGGCTACCAACAAGCAGGATTTGCTTTGATATGCTGCTTGTGGGGCATCCCAGCAGTCTTTAGAGTCATTCAAGGATAAAAAATTGGTAGGAAGAGGGAGGTGATTTGGCAGGAGGGGTGACTGCCACCTAACATGCTCCCTGCAGGCAGCCATGACTGCTCTTCAGAAGGACAATGATCACCACTGCCACCAAAATACTCCAGTACAACAGACCTGCCACAATGCTGATGGATCAGAGACCTTCTGGCTAAAGTCAACTAGGTGCACTTAGCTGTAGTGACACACTGGCTCCACGACCAAACCCTAAGTGCCTGAGCTGCTCCATCCACCATGAGTCTCCCCAAGGAGCTATAAAAGGCATTTCAACCTCACTGCCACTTGCAGCTCCCAAGAGCAAAACGACTTCAAAGCCAAAACAACATTTGCCTGTACAAGATGGTGCCAAATGAGAGCCAACAAGCAGGATCCAAGTTTTAGACACAGGCTGCATCAACACTAGCTACTAAGCTGAATCTTTACTAGGTATGTCAATGGTAGGAATGGGATTTAAGCCAAATATTTACATGGAAAGGCTCCTTCCCTTCTCTTTAACATTTCACTTCTCTGTTTTCTAACCAGAACAGTTAAAAACCCAATCTACCAGTCCAGGCACTCTGTATTTCTGACTTAAGCAATGAGAACCAACACTAACTTCAAACTGCTTCCAAATGTCTTCTTCACGGGCTTAATACAGTAACCTCAAGTCAAAATTTAATGCTGATGGACTCACAGGAGTTGATGTGAGCTAAATACACAGAACTTCTCTTTATATTGTAAAGGCAAAAAAGCCAAAGTAAATTTATTCTTTGCTAATACAGACTATTCACTTACTGACATCTTTGCAGTGCTAATATTTAGAATAACTTCTGGTACTAAAATACACATGGATAAAACAAAGGAAAATGTCTTAGTGGAAAAGTTGAAAACCTACCTATAAAATTTATATACTCTTAAATAGGAATTGATTTTTAACTTGTCCTGTTTCTTGAGACCCTATTCTCTTTATGATGTATGACAAAGCTGTTAGCAAGTTCAGTGGAAACAGGACTGAGATCTCCATAGACTTATGAAACTGATATTAACAGATGGTTTAAACAGAACCCACCTCTTGAGCTAGGGGTAAAAATCATTAATTTGTACATGTTTAAGTACCATCAAAATATTCTCCTAAAAATATCTTTCACTATTTCTAGCCATATATAAGGAACAGATGATCTTCCAAATGCAGCTGATCTCTCCACTGACCCAAATTAATAAACACTTGGAACAGAGTTAGTTTCTATTGGGTATTTCCTGCATATTTGATTTTCATAAATGTTCCTCCATGCAGAAACTAATGGAGTTTCAAGAAGACTCCAGCTAAATTGTTCAGAGTTTGGTTGTTTTTTCTTTTTTTTTTAACGCTACAGTTACAGACAACACTTTAAAAAGAAAGTATTTTCTCATCTGCAATTTTCAGTAATTCAGTTTGTTTCTGATTTTTGGTACCTTAATTGCAACCCTTTTTGAGGAATTGATCCTCTAGCTATGTAGCTCATTCTGGCCTTACACAGTAAGGTTAGAAGTGCGGGCTCTAACATTTGCATGCATGACAGTTTTGTGGGTGTAAAGGTCTACATCAAGGTTTTTCCTCAAATGAAGAGGGTAAATCTTCTTTAGCAAGTGCATTCCATAGTACACCTTTTGTGTGATATGCTGTATTCAGTATTTCGTGTTCTGTTTTCTTTTCCACAATGTAAAAGAAACAGAGGACATTTTATGTCTGATCTTTTCTGATTCTACCTTATTTCTCTTCACTGTCAATCTCTGAAATTCAGTATCTTCTCTGTCTCCCTGCTTGACTTACTCTGCCTTAACTCGGTAGGTATAATGCATATCTGCATGTGTATGAGGTGGGTGTGGGACTGGAGATGGTGAAGGATGAATAGCTTTATCATCTGAGCAGAGAATCATCAACAAAACCAGTTTTCTTCAGTGCAAAACTTCAAAAGAGAGAAGCAAATGCTTTTGTAAGCCAGAAAAAAAAAAGAAACTTATAATAGTATATTAATACCCAAAAGTTAATTGAGAAAAAAGCTCATTAAAATACATGCAAGGAAACAAAGTGTTTTGAGAAAAATACAACAGTTTAAAGTGCAGAGCTACATACAAGAACACAGAACTATTTTTTTGCCTTGTCAAAAAATAAAAACCATGATGCCCATACTAAAGTCAAAATCTGACTGAAGATCAAAGGAGCGAAAACATGCACTGCCAGGCTACTTTTGGATATTTCCTAAACTGCTCTTGAATGCTGTGTAAAAACACTATGCTCAGTGTTAAACAGATTTAGAAAACAAAAGTCCAAGGCGAGAACTAACTTTCACAACATCATATGAAATGCAGGAGTATAAAAATATTGATCCAAGACACGTATACACATGTACATACATAGAATATACAACCGTGTATATTCTAGTTTCCTTTCACAGAATGAGGGACCCCTTCCCTCCCTCCCTGACAATTCTCTGCTTCTCCAAGCACTCTCCAGGCAGGCCAGTTTAATACAAAACCCTCAAAACTCTACCTTGGTGTCATGGCGTATTGCTGAGACTGGGGTGACTTCCTCTGCTCTTTTCTTTTTGCCCTCTTCGTCATCTTTCTCTTCTTCTGCCTTTTTCTCCGGGGTCACAGTGGTTATCAAGTTGGTCTGAGAGATGCCCTTTGTTGTGGCGTACTGGCCAGTACCAACCTCTGCAGCAGACACAGAATCCTTCATGTACATTTCATGGTTTTCATTCACTGATGCTAAAAGCAAATATTTAAAGAGGGAAAGTCTGAAATAGCTTTTGCTGAGAAGCTGCATAAAATTAAAAAGCTGGGTTAGTAAAACATTAAAGATATTGCTGAAAACACAACTATGCCATGTTTCAGGAAATCAGAAGCATGTGCATACATTTAAATAAACTGTTTACTTGAAATAAAGCTAGTAGCTTTTATATGCATAAACATATATTATGGATGTGTATACACACATTAGTGTAGCTAATGTGCGCATTACACGCTTGTTAAATGCTAGCAAGCCATTAAAAGTGCTGCTGTAGTAAAACATCAGAAAAAAAAAATCAATGTGTTGCCGGTTATCAGGCAGGAAACATAAGGAGAACCAGCTATGACATCAGCCATGGGGGTGGAAGAGGGTTTTTTTTACATCTGTCAGAATATAACAATGCAGATCAAATGCATGGTAAGTAACGTGCTGCATTAAAGGAAATGATAATATTGATGTAACACAGGCATAATATCTGAGAATCCAGAAACGGGATCTTTGTATTACTGACTATTGAAGTCTGCTAGTTAAGTGAGCTCATTATCCAAAAAAATTCTGGGAAGTGATGACATTCAGTTCAGCAGACCAAACCAAAATATTTGAGGATGGAAGCATTCAATAATTCAGCAAACTTACATATATATAAATGATTTCGAAATAAATAGTAAATTTACAGATAGAATGTAATCAAAACATTATTATACACACAGACCCTGCTCTTGACTATTATGTAACTGATTTCTAAGTCAATAGGACTATTCAAATTTATAAAGTTATTTGCATCTGTAACAGATGACAGGGCCAGGATGACAGTGTAATCATGATGCAGAATGTTTCAGGCACGTCTGTGTTACAGTAACGTCAGTGAAGTAATCATAAGCATTGATTAAAAAACCTCTTTTCCCCATCTGCACTTACGCAAATTAACATCATAAAAACCTCGCAGAGTGTAACAAATGCCGGGGAAAAGCATTTCGGATATTTTGTCTCTTGGGAATGAGCTTAGGAGGCAGGAGAAAGCAAAGGGAGTAGAGGCAGACATTTTGTTTAAGATTGTTGCAAACAAAATAACGCAGAAGGATAATTTCTGCTTTGAGACACATGCACAGCGATCAGGTCACCAGTTGCTTGGTAACGAGCAAGAAGCGCATCAGAATTAGAAGATTCCAAAATAATTAATGACAAGCAGCACCTTTAGGGGGAGAAAAGAAGGCTTGTGACTAGTATTTTTAAACCGAAGCTTCTCCCCTCCCCACCATCAACTATACTCATTGCAATTCAGTTGTGATATTATGCAGAAAAATTCACCTTTTTTTTTTTAATTCTGAATTTAGTCTCAGTCTTTTTTCTACAAAAATAAACTACAGCCTCTTTTTACTCAACAGCTGACAACAGTAACAGCTGAAGAAGTAGCTGAGACTTTGAATCACATGCTGGCTTAAACTAGAGGATCAGCAGAACCATGACCTTCATCAACCATGGGGAAAGAGAGGAGGAGGAAGAGCATACTATTAACCTGTGTATGTTACTCTCCATCTCACACCCTCAGGAGAAATGCATGGAAAAAGCCTGTTAGCGCTCACCCAACTAGGATATGAGGGAACTGGAAGCAAGTGTTATTAATCAGTCAAAGGAAATACTTAATTTATGAATTGGAACATACACTTAAATGAAAAACGCAAGAAAAAAAGCCAAATTAAATCAAACCCCAAACAGTTACTCCTGCAAACCCTGAAAAAGTGTTGAAGCTTGACTTGCTCAGGCAGGCAGGTCCATGCTGGCAGGTCCAGATGCCCTGTCCTTCCGCAAAGCAGGGAAGTGCTTTGCAGGTGTGAGGCCAAGGACAGAGGATCCATGAAGAGCGGGCTCCCAAAGACCTCCTCCAGGCAAACACTGTAAGGACTGCAGCAGCACATGGAGCACAGCATTTCTTTGCATCCTCTCCTACCCCTGCAGTGAATGTGGAGGTACTCACAGCCTCCACTCAGCCGAAGCTCAAGGAGACAAGATGACAAGAGGCTTATACCGAATCTAAAGCAGTGACCACCACGATGATATCTTTTGACAAAGTCAATTGAGATGACCTTACCCCCATCTAAGCTTCGAGACATGGTATAACGTTTACTAGAAGAGCGCTCAAAGTAAGGTGCGGGACGGTCTATGAGGGCACTAGCTCTTCTTGTCTGGGCCTGCGTCCGGCCACTGTAGCGGAACTTGGAGCCCAGTGTGAGGAACTTCTTTGGAGGTGCTTCTGGCAGCAGGAGCCTAAAACACACCAAGCAGTGCACCCATTACTTGGCCTCCTCCAAAAATCAGTCCACTATTTCTGCAGAGGAGAGAAGACAACTGTTGGGTATCACTCTCCATCGTAACTTGTGCCTCACAGGTCTGTGGCTAAAAAGGGATCAAAAGATGTCCCTCATACAGCATGACAGAACTGCTTAGCTAATGCATTTGAAGAGCTGAGTTCTTCAAACCAGGCAAGAATCACTCAGTCCCTTCCTGCTTGAAAATCAGATTTATTATTTCTAATAGTAAAACTAAAAATAAGGTATTCCTTGTATCAGGGACCCTGACCTGGCTGAATCATAGAATAGTTAGGGTTGGAAAGGACTGTAAGATCATCTAGTTCCAACCCCCTGCCATGGGCTGGGATGCCTCACGCTAGAGCATGTCACCCAAGGCTCTGTTCAACCTGGCCTTGAACACTGCCAGGGATGGAGCATTCGCCACTCCTTTTGGCAACCTGTTCCAGTGCTTTATACTCCAAATTCAACATGGTGCTGCTATACTGAAGACAGGGCCAGAACAAAATTCCAGTGTATGCCAGGCAGTATTCATTGACAGGGGAGGCAGACATTTTTCAGGTTAGAACCTTCTCATCCTCTCTATTTTGGCTATGGGAATTTGTCTTTCAATTTGACAATGGAAAAAAGCCACTCTTGTGCTACGAAGTTTATGTTTTAGACATTGTTTTTCCATTAAAAATCAGAAAACACCCCAAAAATGCACACTCAATTTCTTTTTATATCTTTTGCTGCTAAGATTGCATTTCATATGAACATACAGACAGGCTAAACCAATAGTTTTAAGAAAAAAGAGAAATTCTTCAGTCCTCCCAAACATCTTTATAGGGGTTCCTAAGCACTGGATACCCTTTCACACCATTGAAAATCTCACCCTTTTGAGTTTCCATTGTTAAGTATCTCTTTGCTGACCATCTCAGCACAAACCACAGCATTTATTCCACTATCCCAAACTTTTCTGAGGTCCTTTTAGATGTCAAAAACATAGCTGCAAAATTCCTCAGTAATACAAAAATGACAGCTATGGATTGGGTATTCTGGGTGACTACAGATACACCACTGACTACTGTCTGTATTTTCATTTGAAATTAAATAAAAACATATTTTTTTTAAACTCTTACCCACATCCCCCAGTAACTTTCCGTGTAAGTTGTTCTCCCTATACAAGCACATGTGCAGAAGTGCAGCAGATTCCTTCGTCTCTTTAATTATAGCAGCTGATAATATCATGGCACAGATAAAGCAAAACAATTGACTGGGACCATATGCTGATTTTAAACAGTATCTATCTAAAATAGTATGAATAATTTGGGTGAAACACTGAAAATCTTGCAGAAGCAATAACCTTCCCCTGTCTGCTCAGAGATGCTTCATGATCAATAAGATGATTTAATTTGAAGGGGTTTGCCTCTGCTGACAGAATTGGTCTTTTCTGTTGCATTTTACGTCACACCTTCAGGAAAAGAAATCCACGTACCTGAAAAATGTATGGTGCTCAACACACACTTTCCATAAGCGCTTTGCAGCACGATGATTTGGCAACTTAAACCCAATAGTGCTTTCAAACTGCTCAAACTAGGCAGGAAAAAAAGAGGAAGTTTAGAGAAAGAAAAAAAAAGAAGAAAAGGAATAGATGCTGTGCATCTATGTTTAGACAGTGTACACAGGATCATCTTCATTTCCTCCATCTATATCACCTTATTGTGTATGTATTGTGTATGTAACCACATATATAGACATCCTACAGACTACTGTGTCTGGGAAGGAAGCTGTGAGTGATAATCAATGGCAACCTTTGGGGATTGTGTTTTCGGAAAAACCCAGATAATGAGAAAGAAGCTTTTGATGGTGACAGTGTTTTATGGCCTATAGTAACAAAGGCGGCTTGGGAGACTTCTGAGAAAAACATCTTTTAAGTGTTTTAGCCCTGTTGTTTTAACTTTACCAGTTAACAGTGGGAATCTTGATAATAGCCTGGAGGGGGGCAATAGTCCCCAAGGACTGATCTGGTCCCATGCAGCCTTAGATTAAGGAGATTTACAGTGAAAAAACTACAGTTAGTAAATCACAGTGTTTTTAGCTAATTTATCTCCTGGGGAGGATGAGGAAAAGACAGGTAATTGAAAAGAGTCGGCTGGGGATACTAAGAGACCTTTGTAGGTTGTGCTCCAGATTTATATATTCCAGATGGAAAAGCTGTGCCAAATACAACCCCTAGAACAAGCTGATGGCTACATGCAGATAGACGAGTAGGTGAAACAGTGTTGCTGCAATCAGGGAAAGGAAGGCAGAAGAGCACTTGTAGGGAAGCCTGGATCTCTGTGGGGAGCTGACAGAAAGAAACAAGGCAGGAAACAGAAAAACAATAAAGAAGATATAAGTGACACATGGGATCATGAATCACATTATTATCAAATGTGATTTGGGAAGAGACCGCACTGATTATTTTGCATAAAGAACTATGACCTGGTCACAGGATGCCACATACCAAGACCAGCAGAGCTCAACATGCTTCAGTGGTGGAGAGCTTGAGTGCAGGCATTGGGAACAACACTGGCTGTGTGTTTTGGTTTTAAAACCAAACTCAAGACTGTGAAGTTGGTCACTAAACCCTGCCTGCTGAGAGGCAGGAGATGTAGGTGTGTGCACTTTGGTTTAGGACTCTCAAAAAAAGGCTCAGGCCCTGGGGCTGGCGGGGGGGCCCAAGCAGATTTTCCAGGTCACTTACGAAGTCAGTACTGGGGACATGGGCTCAGACTCCCAACTGCCATACTGCATTAAAGAAATACCAGTCCTCATCCAGGTGATTTCTCTCCTGCTATACAGCTCCACCCTCTAAAACGCACATGGATTTTTTTATCTATCGCACACTGATTATTGTACCAGCACTTAAAATGGAGACGCTCCTTTGCCGGTTTTGATCCTGAACTCCTCCTGGGATTTTTCCTAAGATTTATGATTTTATTTATGGGTTAACACACGCTCAATCCATGAAGTAGGTGTTTGCTGCGCATCGGGCTGAGCCACGAGAGGGCACTCACTGCACGAGATTTCACATCACCTTCTCCAGAGCCAGACCAGGAGCTCCAGGGTGGCTGGGAGGGCTCATGTGTGGAGCTACCAGAACTGCTCAATAACACATGCCCGGTTCCTTTTTAATCAGTCACTGGATTTCTGTTCCAACTCCAAACATACCGGTCTGATATGCTCATGAAATTTGGTATGACCTATCTACATCTCCTAATGGGCAAGATGAATGGATGCTAATTTAATACACAACGTGAAGGTGGGTAACAAGCACACCATGAATAAACAGTGTATTACTTACATTCCCAAAGTATTCACAATATGGATGAACTTTTTATATGCAGATGGATGTAAACATAAAAACACCAAAGAAGGTTTTACCTGTATTTTAAATATTTACCTAATCTTTCCAAAGAAAATCAGCACAAAACATATAAATGGAGAGGAATATTAAAGGCTTGTAAGATGTGACAAATTAACAAACAGAACATGGGCTTTTTGAAAAGCTTCATTCACTAACGAGTGTCAGGACGTCCTTACCTCCCCCGGTCGGATTTTGATGTAGAAGTTGTTTCTCTTGTAGGAGATCTTCAGAACCTTTGGCCAGGCAAATCTATTTATTCTGAGTCTGTCTCGATATATTAAAAGACCACTTGCACACACTCCTAACATGATTTCCACTCCTTCAGAATCCTGGAAAAGAAAGCAATGCATTTTGTTGAATACTTTTCTCCTTACATCTTACAGTACTACAGATTCTTATATACTATGTTTCTATCTGAGCTGTGTCTTTTTAATGCATCAGCTGTAGTGACCTGCTTTCTGAGAGCTACCCTACTCACTGACTGCATTCATGCAAGTAATAGTAAGGTTGGGCAGGAAGCGTTGTGAATGTTTCCTTATATTTTAGAAAGACTCCAAAAGGAGGGGGGAAATTTTAGATGCTATTAAAAGAATGATATTAACCATATAGCAACATTTTATTAGCATAACAAAAAAGTGTTATTAGCATAAAAACCAGATTGAAAGTAAGTGGCACGGCATACAAATTTACTTCTCCTGGCATCATTCATCTCTATGACTAAGCCTTGTGAATCCTTAGATAGATTTTTCTTCCATAGTTTGCTTGTCTTGTCTTTCATTGGTTTGTTAGTTTCTGTAACACAGTTGTGCCTACGCTCAGCATTTTCAAATGACCAGCATGCAGAAAGTTAGTAATTTGGACCAGAAAGACTCTTTCGAAAGTGTGCAACTGTGCCTGTGCTATAACCCATGTTTTGACAGAGAAGCTGTAGGTCAGATACATTAGCACTACAAAAGATTTGGCCACAACCTTGTCAGAATATACCCATAAATATGTATTTTTTAAGTAAGAAGTATACATTTCTCTTTCCTTTAGAAGCCTTCAAATAGTCTAAACTCAATCTTCACTGTTTGCTGTCACCTGTGCAATTCTGTGGGGGGTTTTTTTCACTTAGCTGAGTGCTAATACTGCTGGAGAAAACAAGGATCTACCTTAAAGCAGAGAGTTCTTCAGTAATTATTTTAAAATAACTTAAGGTTATAAAAGCCTAACAAGAGAAGCTATGAAGATGTCACCCTATGATAATTGTGAAATGAATTAATTTGCCTTTGGTCTTCCTGACAAGCCATCTTTTAGGCACACAGTGAAAATCTGATTACATTTTAAGATGAACACAACGGCATGCATGGTCAGTTATGATGAAAAGGCTACAGCACAGATAGAAATACAAGAAAAAAACCCACGTATGTTTTAAAATTGGAGACAGAGCATAGAATTAGTGCCTCAAATTCACTCCTGTGTTAGAAAACACACCAAGAGAGGATGCATGTACCAATAATCACAGAATCACCCCTTAATGGTAGATTTTGTTCTAAATAAATCTGTTGTGTAGTATCATTGCCAGGTAGTACATAAAGACAAAGCTAATTTTTTTCAGTGGACTTCAGTTTCACAATTTTCTAAGCAAGAGTAATGTCTAAATACAGTGAACACATTCTAAACCAGAAAGTCCTATAGCCAGTAATCCCACTGTATGGCCAATGCCTGAAATGCATGTGTGCTCACATGCAGCACATAGATGCAGCTGCAAGGGGCTCCTCTTGACACACTTTCACAACAACTTGTTGAGCAATGTCTTCTTCCCTCATTCCCACCTTTGCAGCAGATCTAACTCCATTCAAGGCTTCTGTTACTTGTCAGTGTAAAGACTGCTTTTCAACATGATACTTACTACAGATGTAAAACGAACCTGAATAAAAGAATTTGGCTTTTTTCAGGAGTGATGTGGTTGCATGGAAAACTGTTAGCCCTAATGTCCGAGGAACAAGATGCTGAGCTGCACATCCCTGCAGCTCTGCATACAAATGGGGGGCTTTATGAGAGTGGTGACAGCCCAGAGGACGAATGTGTCTATTTGAACACATTTTTTATCGCAGCATAGTGTTGGGTAATTGAGAAGTAGTTTTAACAGCAGCTGGCGAGTCCAGCATCTGTTGAATACCTAAGATATTGGCACAGCCTTAATGAATTGACATTTACATAGAAACATCTGCCACAGTGTGATTTTCAAAAAGGCATCCACAGAGATACTGTCCCATAGCCTGATACCATCAAATCTCACTGGCATACCCATTTAAAACTAAACATTACTTCTCACACAGTCTACTTCAGATCAGTTTCCAAGATTAACATTGGGTTTCTTAACCTACAGACAAGACTCAATTTGGTTACCACTGTAGCTTTTTTAATTCAGAACATCACGTTAGAGAGAGATTGGCTTGCCTACCCACTTCTCTTTCTATAGGAAAAACAGAAGACTAAGACTGGACAGTAATATTTTCTAGGAAAAAATAAAACTCAGAAAATCTTTTCTTAAATTCCACAGCTTTTCTCCAATACTCTGAAAAAAACCAAAACCTAAGCCTTAATGCTATGCTGTGTTAAATTATCAGTAACAAAGTCTGTAATGTATTTAGAACTGGAACTCATTTTGCTGCTGTTCTGAAGATTTCTTTGTGTCAGAAAAAGGATGTTGAAAAAAAGCTACTGAGTGACACTCACCAGTTCATTTCTATCTCTGCTCCAAATGTGCCTCAAGATTTTGTGCCTATCTGCAAGACACAGCGTAGGCAGCAGCATGCCTCCTGGTAGAGTGCTGCCCGTTCAACCATACCCAGATTTTTCATTTTCAGTGAAGGCAATTAACAGAACACAAAAGGTTGCCTTGGATTCTGTAACACACATGCACAGCTCCTATGAAATGCCCCAGGGACACCTCTGCAAACCCTTTCAAGATCCAAGCTGCAAATTTATCTTGGTTCTTGAAAGGATCTGCTGCAGCACAAAACCAGGCTCACAATAATTTGACCTTTACAGAAAATGCAGCGCTTTCCACAGCTCAGGATTCTTTGTTCAGCACTCATTTGTTAAGGATGCTTGCTAACCTCAAAGATGTTAAAATCCATTAACCTTACTTTGAAAAGTGAAGAAAAATAGTTATTTATTTGGAAAAAAAACACAAAGAAAGAAAAACCACACAACCAACACTAGGCTGGTAGGTGGATCTCCCAAGTCCCAATAAAAATGACCATGTTTTATTCATAACTTAACCTGACAATGATTAGAAACTACTTTATCATGAGAGAATGTTTCCAGCAGAATTACTGCCCTTCCAGTCAAGTGCAAGACCACACCTCAAGAGAGAAGCAAGTCTGTCCCCACTATGATCAATCTGATTAGGATTCCAGCACAACTAAATAATTGCTTGAAAGTCCTCTGCAGTGTTAGAAATGATCTGCTTATCTAGTTAAGATACCATCGTTGGTCTTACTAAATTAGAAAATGAAATGACAATTGGTCACTCTCTGGACGGCTTCTAAAATCCCTCCTCATTACTCCGTTCATCCAGAATTTTCCTGAAGGATCTGGTTGTTTAATCAACATGAAAGGTTGATGTGCAACATCTTCCAATCTATAGGCTAAGTAATGTTTCAGTTACAGTATCTGTTTATGCTTATCCCATGAATCACCCTTCTTCGTTTTGACACATGATTTATCCCACAAAATGCCTGTCTAAAAACAAGAAAGAATAAATCACGGAGTCCATGCAGACTCAAGTACTATACCACAGGAGAAAGACGACCAGTGAAAGAACTGGGCTACATACCTTGGCATGATGGAGATCTACTCCATACATTGACAGTTTTTTGGCATTCTCCAGGAAATGCATCTCAGCCTCTGCAGGTGTCATTCCCCTGAGGAAAAGCAACCAATTCTAGTATTACTATTAAGGAAACAGAATCCAAAATAAAATCCAGCAGCTGGAAAACAGTTTCAGCCTGACAGAAGTACAGCATATCCCTCAGGTAGTAAGGGTACCCTACCAGAGCCAAAGCTCTGGTGCAGATCCACACTGATGCGCTCTGCTTACCTGTGGCTCTTGTGCAGTTCAATCACTTTATCCTCCAGCTCCTTAGTATGATTCGGTGCAAAGCGAAATTCGCTGATGTAGTCGCTGCCGTACTCGTCGGGGTCATAATCGCCAAGCTCTGACTGCACGGTGTAGGAGCCCAGTAGAGCCAGTGTAACAAATGAGCAGGGCAGCCGACCCGACACGATGTCATCTCTCAGCTGCAAGCAGAGGTAGTACCTGCAAGGACCACCAAAGAAAGCTCAGGAAGTGCTCCTCCACCAGTGCCCCCAGAGGAGCACTGCCCAAGCACCGGCAAGAGGCCTCAGCTCCTCTACTAATCTGCAGACAAATCCTAAGCCCAGAGTTTTTCAGGTGTTAACAAGGATAACAGTAAATTTTTTGGAAAAAAACCCAAAATAACAGTCCCAAACCCAAACCAACCCTTGCCTATCTTTTGGGTAGCAATGCCTAATTTATCTTTATAAAGCAGTATGGAGATCATAGAAGCATAAAATGGTTTGTGTTGGAAAGGACCTTAAAGACCATCTAGTTCCAAGACCTTCCACTAGACCAGGTTGCTCAAAGCCACATCCAACTTGGCCTTGAACACTTCCAGGGATGGGCAACCACAACTTCTCTTGGTAACCTGTTCTAGTGTCTCACCACCCTCACAATAAAGAATTTCTTAACATCTACATCTTTCAGTTTTGAAGACATTCCCCCTTGTGCTATCACTACGTGACCTTGTAAAAAGGCCCTCTCCAGCATTCTCGTAGGCCTCCTTTGTGTATTGCTTAGTGACATAGATGGAGAATTACCTATTAAATATACCATGTTTCTATTATACATCACTAAGACACACATAGTTATCTAATGATACTTTTAAGAAGAAAAACTAATTAAAGCCTTCAAATACTGTTTATTGAACAGCTGCTGAACTCCAAGCATTCAAAAAATATAAGCTGTCTCTTTAGCAAACTGTCAAGCTTTTTCCAAAATACATTTGAACAGTAAATGCTGTTAAAACCACAGTGATAAGCAGTGCAAGGGATCACCAAATAGAAGAAAACTGGAAAAAAGGAAGAGCATTGGCTTGGTGGTGAAGGCACAGAGTTCCCAGGGGAGATTTGAGAGCGACAAGAGGAAAAAACCAATCCTTTCTTTTGGCAGACCTCTGTTGAAGTGTGAATTCTTGGCATGCTGTCTTTCTGCGCAGCTCCTAGCACAGGGAACCTCTGATCTAAGCCAAAGGCTTCATGCTACCTTAAAAGCAACAAGTAGTCCACAAAGCAATGAAGGTTAAAAATACCCACAGGTTGCAAAATGTTATAAAAGGCTATGGAACAGTTTGCTGGTGACACAGAACTCGTCACAGCTCAGATGTTTTCCTACCATTTACCAAGGAGGAAACCAGGTGAGTTTTTGTTTTTCTTTTTTTTCCTGTCGTTGCAATCTGAATACAAAACCAGAGAGTAGACGTGCAGACTGCAGAGCTAAGTGTCTTGGACAGCAAAGAGGAGCCATTCATTACCACCATGTTCCTGATACCATGCACACATCAGTTGCTTACCTTGTCAAATGCCATACAAAAATTACATGCATGCTTATTCTCATCCTACGTCTTTCTTTTCATAGTTATGATTATACTTACAATAACTACTTGTTACCACTGGCAAAAATGGGCATCAGGCGTCTTTGTGAAAATTAAACTCAACAGTCAGGAATATGTATTTTGGAAAATCTGGGGTTTAGGTTTAAATCATACGTATGTCTTAGCTCAGAGGACAGACCCTGTTCACACTGTTTTTTCTGCCAAAGCACTACATATTTTCCATAAGCTCGTAAGAGAAAGGAAGCCAATGAGAATACAAAACATTCATTTGCTTGGATAATTAGAGTTTAAGTGCTACTACAAACAGCTTTTAAGCCCCTTCTAGAAAGGTATTTAATGTTTTAAACACCTGGTAATATCTTCAGATAGCTGGGCAGGGTCTGGAGGGTAGAATTTCACATTAAATGCAAACTGCCAAGCACCACCTGGAAAAGAACACAGATTGACTAAAAGAACACTGTAAGTGCAAACAGAGATGCTCATGCTGTTCGATTACCAGAAAACTTTAAAATACTCCAGCCAAGCAATTCATCAGAACAGGATATAGTATCTTTTTCCCATACATCGTTCTGAAGATACTACTTTTCCTTCTCACAATTACAGTATTAGATCATATTTTACAGCTCTTTTCTTATCTAGTAAGATTTCCACTGAAGTGAGGACCCTAAGGGAGCAGGAATTTATTTCTAACACTAAAAAAATCCTCAGTCTGAAACCAATGTTATACTGGATTTAACCACCTGAAAACACAGCCTATACAAGCTTTAAAAACTAGTCACCCCAAAACCAGAGGTGCTGGGAATACTGCAAACCAGAGTACAAATGGGGACTGGGGTGGAGTGATACACCAAGGTCTGGCTGCCCAAAGCAGCTCACAGCATCCTCAGAGTGCTGCCTCAGCACATAGCTCTCTGTCTCCAGCAGACATAAATTACTGTGCAGACAAAACTGCAAGGACAAACACAGAGAACATGACTGAAAACCAGTATGTAACACTAAGGAATTCTTATTTGATTATTTCAGTAAGTGACCCATGGGATGGATACTGGTTTGCATCACCACAGGGTGTGAAATTCTTTATGGAGCTTTAGCTTTAAATGTTGTAAAGAAAGACTATCAAAACTGAAAAAAAGAAAGAGTTAAATACAGTATGTAAATATCAAAGCTATTATGTAAAAGGGGCAGGTTATACTAGACTATCTTTCAAATGCAAATGAAAAGCAGTAACAAAAGTCCAAACCACAGTGTTCTTACAAGCAAGGCAGTGGCTTTTCAGTATGAGACTTTTCACCCAGGCCACTGTGTGGGATATACCTCTTATATGTACTTCTACCACATAAATTAGAGAGTGAAGAAATATGCAGTGAAGAAACCAAAGCCAAAGTAGTGACACTTGTTTTTCCTGAAGCATGCTGATGTCAAAGTACACCTCTAACTAGAAATAAATAGGTATCTCTTGAGAAGTCCTCATAGGCTGTCTAATGAAGAAATGCTCATGAACACTGTGAAAACCAGGAATCTTATAAATCTCACAGGGTAGAGCTTTCCCATGATCTTCAATTCAGTGGCTCCGTGTGCTTAGGTACCTCCTAAAGAGGTTTGAAGGTGGATTTGCTGTACTCTCTGGTAAGATAGCTTACGTGCTGGACAGGTCTGCTTGCCTGGAAATACTGTATGGTTGTCCTAACTGGGTGTTTAGGAGTATTTATTTAGAGATAACAAGGAAGTTTCATTACGTGCAAAGCCCCATCCACTCTGGTCATCCATGCACCCAAGCAAACAGGCTCAACGTGCAAGAAGACATTTACCATCAGAACTTCAGCTCTCAGTGGGACTTCCGGGCTCCTTGATTTTAGGAACTTTTCCACTCTCTTGGGCCATAAAAGCTGATGGAAGTGGCTGGCACTGAAGATGGAACATGATCCCACTGGCGGCTGAGGTGGGAGTGGAGCCTGTGGGTGACACTTGGCTCCATGACAGAGGGAAAGGGCTATGGCCCAAAAATCTATTCCTCTGGCTCACACAAAGTATATCAAACCTATGATATAGCCTGTCCTAAAGCATGGGTGGTTAAGATACCAGAGCAAGAGGCCTTGATTCCCCCACTTATAGGGGTTTAAATAAAACCTAACACTGTTTTATACAGTGTTACACTTGCTGTGTTGGTAACACAGCAAGTTAGTGTGTTATAACTCAGTCTCCTTTCTCAAATACTGGGATGAAATCCCTGTGGTCTGCAGTGGAATAATGGATATCTGAGTGTTGTACAACTCAACCAGCATTTAGAAGGATTATATATTTGTCTTTTGGGAAGTGTCATGGGTAACAGCCCTACTTTTCCACCATCATCCTGTTCCAAACTCCTGGGGTGAATTGTACAAAACAAGCAAATTATTGCTGTCATCTTCTCCAAATGCAACTGTCCCCTGCGTCAAGTCCAGGACAAGACTCTTTTGCTCTGGTTAATCTCTTGCTGTCACAACCATTCATTGCCTATCTCATGGCTTGGGTACATATTAAATGCATTTTAAATCACTGGTGTGGAGCCGAGCTGCTTTACTTGCACTGACCATCAGCATAACCTGACTTACCAAGGTCTACATCACCTTCTTCTCCATCTTCTCACACGATTAAAAGATGGCAGATTTTTATTACTTTTTATTGCAAATCATTTACTTTTAATGAAAATAACACTGATGGAAAAGCTTACAGTAAGTGAGGAAGTTTTCCAGCCAGTGTAAATTAACCCTGCGAATCTTGGAGAAGGAAGTGATTAATTTGCTGGGCCTCACCCAACAAATGTGAACTACCAGATGTATTTGCTTGTGAAAGCACAAGTGCTACAAGAGACCATAAACAAAATGTGAAAGAACTGCTGAGGCTTTCCTGCTTAAAGGAATCAGACACACAAACTTTTCAACAATTTTAGGAAGTGAGGGGCTGGGAAAAAGGCAGGTCAAATTTTGAGCCTGCAGCCTTGACAAGGTTCTCCTTCGAGAGGTTTTTGAATTTCCAATGTAGCAGAGGGCTAAATTTAACAACCAAGCTTTTTAAAATATTCATGTTAAGCAGAAAATTGTCTGGTTCTTTGTCAGCTGAATGGTCATTTTAGGAGCAGAGTTCAAGCTTTTGAAACACATGAAGGACAGATATTTCAGACAGCGTGCTATCTTTGCATCAGTGGAGTATTTCTGTACGAGGCACGAACAGTGTTTCTGGATATGATATAAACATCAGTAATGCAAAGAAATAATTTACATAGATGGTCTGGTCCCTAAGGTTACATTGCTTAATGTCAAACTTTGGTTTTTTACATCTCTGAAAATGTCAAGTTGTTTTCAGCAATGCAAGTTCATGTGTTATGAATGTCCGTAACTGCTTGCACTCGTCATGGGGTAACATACCTAAAAGATGCAGGTAAATCCTTTGCCAGAGACTTGGGAGAGGATGCAAAAGACGACTGTGAAATAGGCTTTGAGTCCCCGGGGGAGCATGCCCTCCTGGGGGAAGGCACTGAGAAGGAAGCCATGGACCCAGCCTATCTCTCCCCTCACCTTGTGGGTGAGGGGCTGGGAAGAGTGGGCAGCCAAGCCGCTGGTGCTGGGGGCCCCCATGAGATAGGCCCTTCAACCGAAGAGCAGTAAGTTATCCCAGCCATTTAGGAACAAGCCCCGAGGATCAGAGGGGCTGTGCAGCCATGAACACCTCGTGCCCATGATGCCCTTCTTGCATGCCAAGGAGCCCCTCTGTATCTCGCATCTGCACTCAGTGTCACAGGGGTCTGATGTCTTCACAAACACTGATGGCATTTTAGGGGAAGAGATTTTTTTGTGTAGATTTTTTGGGTCCAGATACACCAGAAAAAAAGTTTTCCGGACCCCCTGAAATAAACACATAAGGATAACAAACTTACTTCGGATCTGCTTCTTGATTTCCTTGGCAGGATCCAACCAATTCTGCAAAGAAAATAGTTCCTTTTTTTTTTCAATTTGAATTAGAAAACACAATAAACATTATTTTTACAACAGTGCTATGAGTCAAAGCTAGAACATTTGACTTTCTCCTTGGAGCAGCATTAGGCAGGAATAACATTAACATTCAAGATGTGGCCCTGGGTAAATGCAGGACTTTTATTAACCTTCCCAGACATTGAATCATAGAATCACAGAATGGGTAGGATGTGAAAGGACATTAAAATCATCTAGTTCCAATCCCCCTGCCATGGGCAGCGACACCTCACACAACCATGTCACATAAGGCTCTGTCCAACCTGGCTTTGATCACTTCCAGGAATGGAGTATTCACCACTTTTTTGGGCAACCTGTTCCAGTGCCTCACCACCCCCACAGTAAAGAACTTCTTCCTTATATCTAATCTGAACTTCCCTGTTGAAGTTTAAACCCATTAGTCTTTGTCCTATTGCTACAGTCCCTCATGAAGAGTTCTTTCAGGGGCTAGATGGCTTGATATAAAAAACAATAAAATACAAATTAATAAAATAAATCCACAGAAATATCTTCTAGAATATGTTTGGGGAAAATTAAATTCCTACAAGCTTGTTAAAAAGTTTTTCTCCCTGGGGACAGGGGGAGTGTGTGAGGAAAGCAGAGGCAGAATCACAGCACCAGGGCTGCCCCCATCCATGCTGCGCAGAGCCTGGTGACTACCCAAGACAAAACTCCTGACAAGGAGGTGGGGAATTATCACAGTGATGTGTTAGTACTCCATGAATGTCAAGGAGCAGAAGAAATTCTTCTGGAGGAGGCGAGCAGCAGCTTGGGTCTCTTATTGCCATCTCTGCCTTGTCCTTTAACATAATCAATTTATTACTTAAAATGAGTCACAGCCCAGAACAAAAAGTTCGCTTCCCCTAGGGAAGTTCCATTTTCTTCAAAGAAAGATAAATGAACACATCAGAGAAAAAGAAAGTACTGAAGAAATACCAAACAAGCAGAACACAACAATCCCCCCCACAACAAAAATAACCAGTTTGCAGCTGTCCAAACCTAGTCTGTGGTGTAAAACATGAGCCTGTATAGCTCCAGCTACTGCTGAGCATGAAAGCACCCTATGCACCAAGATACATGCATCAGGATTTCTATTTCCAAAGATGACATGCGATGTGGGTCCGTGTATTGTTTGGCTAGAAGTTATCTGGCAGAGGATGGAGGTGAATTGCTAAGTACTTTGACATTAAAAATATGCAAGTTATTGACCTATAAATGTGGCGGCAGGCAGCTATTCTTTTAGCAGTTTAGCTCCGAAAAGCTAAAATCCATACATCCATAAATGTTTAGTGCTTCTAAACCACCTGTTAAAAACGAATACTTTCTTCTCTTTCCAGTACAGGAAAGCACACCTATCTGGAAATGCACTTAAACATCTGCCTCGCTTTTACCACAACTCAAAACTAAGCATATGCTGAAGTGTTATCTTGCACAAGCATAGACCAAATGACTGCTTAAGTGATCTTCTGAATGAAACGAAATCCTCATATTTAGAAGTCTGTAAAGAAAGGGAAAGAAGACAAAAAGACTGATTTCTTTTGTATCATATCACTGAAACAAAGGGAAACCTAGGAAATACGGGTGTTATTCTCACAAGCAAACAGCTAAAGAAGTAGTAATAGCTCCAGATCCATCAGTGAAAACCTTTGAGGTCATGCAAAGCACAAAATATCTTTATCTAGTGAATGCTGCTGGGCTACTGCGTACGTTGCTAGGAAGTTCTGTTACTGGTTTCTTTCAAAATATTTATCTTAAAAGTGCCCAAATCAAATAGCATATTTTAAATAATCCTTTGATACTCTTTCATCACAACATGTGTAAACTTATATATATATATGTAAAATCACCTGCCCATTAGATCATCTTGGCCAGTGTTAATACACAGCTTATTTAATACTGAAGTTGAGATGCAGAGAAGCAGAATGTGATTCACTATTGCTACCAACTGCTTCTGAAGATTAACGTCTTTAGCCAAATCAACAACAATGCTTGACTTGACAAAGTCAAGACTTAAAGCCTTACTTTATCTGAGCAGTTAGCAGGAGCAGTCAGCAGGAGCAGTCAATCAACTGCTGCCTATCTGTATCCCAACCACAGTATTATTAAGACATATTTTAGCATTATACGTTTAGTAGGGTATCTATGAATGTAAACCTGACTTTCACCTACAGCAGTAGTGAAATAAATTATACTAGAAAGAAAACCAGCTATATTATTATCTTCCTTCATGTCATAAATAGCCAGCACAGAGGGAAGCCAGGGAAACACAGGGGATGCTCTTGACAAGTTACAAAAAACAGTAGCTCAAGCTATGTCTATGGAACTTGGCAAGGAAGATAAAAACAACTTCTGGACTATTTGCAGCTGTCTGGGGGAAGTCTTGGGGAGCTCTGATGTCCACATGCCAAAGGCTGGCTGAAGTTTGGTGAGTTACCTTTTGGTTTTCTGTGTCTCTGTATGTTAGCCCAAAGTAGTCTTTTTCCAAAAGGTTCAGATGCTCGCACACTTTGTCAAATAGCATTTGACCTCTGGAACGTTTCTGCAGGAAATGAACAGGGGAGAAAAAAAATCACATTTGCAAAATTAAGTAATATGACCATTAAAATAACACAATTTCTGTTCAGTCTTCAAATCAATAACCCCAAATGATTTAATTAAACTCATCCACCTTTTAAACCTATTGACTTGGAACGTCATAAGAATCTGCTGAATGGGGTAAACCTGCTTTTCGTAAAAGTTCAGGTCAATGCATGTCATGTTTCAAGTTTCAATAAGAAGATCTCTTCTGTATTTCGGAAATTGCAATTTCAAATGCATGCAGAGGCCGTATCTCAGCAAACCAGGGTACTCTCTGTGTCAACAGCAAACAGTGGTACAAAGTATTCATGGTCATGGACTAACAGAGCTGTGACTGGGACCAATCCACTGGAGGAAAACCAAATGTGAAGGTATTTCTTGCTTCGGGTCACTATGTGAACTGATTACAGGATTCTTTTTTCTCCAATATATGGGGAAATATGGTACCACCACCTACTTAAATCACGGAAAGACTCTAGTCTCTCACTGGGAACATAGCTGGGTAAGAAAGCAGCTTTCTAGTGTCCCACCAATCTTCTTTACTGCTAACATGTTAGATGAGAAGATCTCTGTCAACAGTCAGAGCCCTCAGCAGAAGCTTCGTAGTATCTCTTGTACTGGCCAGAAAAATTCAAGTCATTGTAGTTCTCAGTGTTACATGTGACACTGAGAAAAGATCTCCAAGAAAACCAAACACAGACAGAAATGTCCTCTTTATAAGCAATATGTGCCAACTTTGATATGCATTAATTATGATAAACAATTCACAATTATTTGGGCCACTGTTTCATCACTGCCTGCTTCCCTAAATGCAGCTGAGCTGAAGGGAAAAAAAAAATCTCTTCATTTCAAACACATGCATACATAAACATTTTAGTTGTTGTCAGTACTGTATTTTCTTTAACTGTAGCATACACATGACTTGAAGCAGACCGGAAATGCACTACTTTCCTCAAACACAATGCAGGAGGCCAACACAGAAGGGAACGCTGCCTCCGAATTTATGTGCGTCTGCTGACAGAGCTGCGCTCAGACCGTGCTGCCAGCCCAGCAGCCATGGCTGGGGGGGGGATATTTCACAATCCAAGCTGACACAGCTATGCCAACAAACCCGCGGAGCCCAACACTGGCCTCAAACTATTTTAGAAGTGGTAAGCAAGCCAAGAGGAAAGGAAAAAAAAAAGGAATTGAAGGTTGCTGCCTAACACCCTGTGAAAAAATTACAAGAGGTGATGGAGGGAGTTGTGCAGCGAAACCTAATTCATGTTATATTCGGTATTTCTGCTGGGGTTCTGATGTTGTATTAGAAAGGAAGCAGGGAAATAACCTCCAGACTTTTATCGATGGGGAAACTGAAGAGTGTGGCTGACAAGAGCCTAACAAGTGTTCTCCAGCTCAGAAAAAAACACAGGCACAAAAGTGCATTACAAGCATATTGCTGTAACTTCATTTTCTGTGTCCTCCAGCATCATTTAGGCAAACAGCTCCAGGGCCTTGTTCTGCTTGTCTCAACATTTCCACCATCTAGCAGGAAGCATAAATATGCCTCAGTCCTGTTATAACATCAAACAAAAGTTTAGTAAATTCTTCATGCCCAAAACTTGGAAGTAGATAATAAAAGGTTGGTAGTTTTATACTTGTTGCTCCATGGAGAGTATCAGGTGGACAAAAAAGATCTCACTGCTGGTGTGCAGAGAGGAGCCAACTCAGAGTGTACAGCCAAAATAGACACATTTCTGTGACAAGCAAGTGATGCTGTGTTTTACCAAATTTCTTGCTTTTGTGCTTGATAACATACTAAGTGATTATACTGAATGGAGAGAAATAAGCAGGTTAGCTCTAGAGGATACCTGCTTTGAGAAACACTATGTCTGCATACTTCACCATTTACATGTACTTGAGTTGTGACCATTCAGTGTCCTCTTAAGAGTCACACAAGGCCAACATAGGAGCTGTTTTATGTGGCTGATCCATGTAGCTACACAGATGTCAGCTTTGAGAAATAGCAGCTAGCAGCTGCAAGATAAAGTGTTTTAACAGGGCATTGCAGGAAACAGTTGTGTAAGGCTGTGCTGTAATAAAACCCAACCAACAAAAAACCTCCCAGTGCTCAGGATTTCTTGTTTGGCTACACATGGCAGGCAAGTGAGAATAAATATGGGAAGCCTGGAACAATTTGCATGGATCGTTTTTTGTCCAGGACAAAACATGTCCTCCCCTTCCTGTACAAAGTTGCTCAAGTCACTTCCCACAAAATTCCTGCCATGTCAGGATGTCAGAAATCCCTGCCAATGCCGCAAGAGGACATCAGAAATATCACATAGAACTAACAGCCCTTCCCAGTCAGGGTCCTCTCCTCACCAGACACTAGGTGTGAACTGGTGATGGTTGAGGGGAAGCCTTACCAGGAGCATTGTCCTTCTCACTGACCACAGAAATGCCCATGAGCGTCCTGACAGATGAGCCTCACATTGCAGCCTTGCCACTGACCCTAAGCATCTCTTCCCAGGTCAGAGCTGACCCGTGGGATCAGCTGGGGAGTGGAGGCTGCCTGGCAATGGAGCCAGCCCTGCTGTCCTCCTAATGCAAAGACCAAAAGAAATCCTTGTGCACCTGCATATATGCATCACTGCTGCTTCATACCCACGTGGCACGAGCACACACACTCTCTTTCTAAAACTTTGTTTCACAGAAACATAGTGAGGGTAAGCTACTGCATAAATCCATGGGAAATCAAGAGGTTTAAATAGAAATACATAATTAAAGCAACCGAACAGACCTCCCGTGCTCTTGTTAATTGCTTTCATTTTACTGTGTGCCCAAATAAGCATGGGTATCATTGCTTTGGCAGGGAGAGAATAGGAGGAGGAGGAGGTAAAGGTCACCTTACAAATTCATACAGCTCTTCAACCCACCCTAAACCTTTACTTTGCACCATTTTGAGGTGACATGTCTAAGGTGATGAAAGACTGACAGTCTGCTGGTTACTGTGGATCACTAGTTAATGCCAAAAATGCCAACCAATTCTCAGCTCTCCAAAAATTGTGGATAAAGAACTTAAAAAATTATCAGACTTCATGCTATAAAATACTGGCCCTGTAAATAAGGAGTTTTTCTGAAAGGTAAATATGTCAATAGTCTCCTCAAGAAATATTCTTTGCTGTTTTTCAGCCATGGGATGAAATGAGATGTGCAGATGTGGAAAAAGAGACACTTCATTTAGGCTTTGGGAAATCAAGACAACAGAAAGAATGCAAAACATAGATTGTACTGTATAAATGAGTACAGAAGCCTGGGAGCAACAGCTTTACGCTTTTCACAGTCTCCTCCCTGCAGCTCTATAAAGGCCAGGGTTCTCACTTGAAGCTGGAATGGGAATAAACAGCCTCCTGGTCAAGCTCCCAGTGAAAGGAGCCAGCAGCAGAGAACTTGGCAAGCCTGCACCCACCAGCAATTCTTACATGCAAGGCAAAGGAGAAGCTGCCTCTCTCCTCACCAGCTTCTCCTTGGTTGTGGAACTCAGCTTCTTTCTCCTTGGGAGGCCTAAGGCCACAAAAGACTCTCGTCTCCCCTAATTGGCTTCCCCATGCTCAAACCTCTCCACATCAGCTTCTTCAGCATTTTCCTCTATCATATCCCCATCCTTACAAGATTACAAGTCCAAGACAACACATTGTACATCACTGAGAGTGAGAAGTTAAAAAATCAAGTACTTGCATCTTAGCTCTGCATGGATAACAAGATTATTATAAATTCAATTATTCTTATTGGTGGACATTTGGGTACAATGTCTGGTATTGCATAATGCCAAAAAATAATGACAAAGTTTTCTTTTGAGTAAGCCCATAAACTGTAATGTACTTATGATAAACATTATTAAAGTGAAAAAATGCAAGCCTTTGTTATAGATACATTATCAGTTCAGCCACAAAATATGTACTGAACTTTAATACAACAGAATCACAGATTGGCTGAGACTGGCAGGGTCACCTACAGCAGGTTGCCCAGGGCCATGTCCATATGGCTTTTACGTATCTCCAAGGAGATGCCACAATGTCTTTGGGCAACTTGTGATGGTGTTTGAGTGCCATCACTGTAAAAAGTGTTTGTTTGTTTGGTTTTTTTTCCCTGTGTTCAGATGGAATTTCTTGTGTTTTAATTTGTGCCCACTGCCTCTTGTCCTGGCAAATGGGTACCACTGAGCACAGTCTGTCTGTCTTCTTTACTTCTCCCATCAGATATTGATACACATTGATAAGATCCACTTCAAGCTTCTCCAGCTAGAACCGTCTCAGCTCTCAGCCTTTCCTCACAGGAGATATGCTCCAGGCCATTCATCATCTTCTTGGCCTTTTGCTGGACTCTCTCCAGTATGTTCATGTCTCCTTTGTACTGGGGAGGCCAGAATTGGATTCAGCAGTGCAAGACTAAGCAGTGCAGAAGGATCACCTCCCTTGACCTGCTGGCAACACTGCCCAGGATGGCACTGGCCTTCTGTGCTGTCATGGCACATTGTTGACTTTTGTTCACTATGTTGTCCATCAGGACCCTCAGGTAATAATAAACCCTGTATTGCAGCAATTAAGCTACCAAAACCATATGCTACTGTGCTGTGATAAGCAACGAGGAAAAGTACACGGGAAATGAGCAACCAGCAACTTAATACAAAGATGTGACACTAACTTCCTTGTCATACAGACCTTATAGCAGCCTTCCAATATCTGAAGGGGGCCTACAAAGATGCTGGGGAGGGACTCTTCGTTAGGGACTGTAGTGGTAGGACAAGGGGTATTGGCTTTAAACTTAAACAGGGGAACTTTAGTTTAGATATAAGGAAGAAGTTCTTCACAGTGAGGGTGGTGAGGCACTGGAATAGGTTGCCCAAGGAAGTTGTGAATGCTCCAACCCTGACGGTGTTCAAGGCCAGGTTGGACAGAGCCTTGGGCAACATAGTTTAGTGTG